CCCAACCACCGCTGTGAGGAGATGCTAGAGGAAGTCTTTTCTAGCCGACCAGACCTCAGAGACATCCCCTTAAGTCAACCAGGTGAGACTTACTACACAGACGGGACGGGCTACTTGGAACAAGGACACAGGACAACTGGAAACGCGGTAACAGATGCAGTAGTCAAAGCAGGACGACTCCCCCATACTGGTCGTCTCAGCAGAGCTCTGGGCGCTCATACGGGGCCCTGAAATTGGCTAAAGGTAAGAAGGTAAATATATACACGGACTCACGGTATGCCTTTGCTATGTTACATGTACACGGGGCCATATATAAAGAAAGGGGGCTATTGACTGCAACTGGCAAAGAGATAAAAAATAAAGAGGAAGTTTCGTTGCCGTGGGAAGCAGTGTGGAAACTGCTGCGGTGGCAGTAATGCACTGTAAGGGCCACCAGAGGGCAGACACACCACAGGCCAAACGGAACTTTCGCTGATGGAGCAGCCAAACAAGCAACTGCCCAGGACAACATAGCAACCAAACTTATGGAGACGCCTGTGGTGTCTAGCCTACTAACCGGCCAAGCGGCCCCAGTCTGTGACAAGGAAGAAACCGCCTGGGTGCCGACTGAACAGGAACACTGCGGGAGGACGGATGGTGGGAGCTCCCGGGTGGGAAATTCTTCATCCCCTGTAGGTTGGCCTTTGAACTAGTTATGGACTTCCATCAGTCCACCCATTTAGAAAAAGACAGGACTTGTGAATTTTAGCCCGTTATGTTGTCATACCACGTCTAACAGCCTTGTATGCAGATGCAAGCTGACGATAGGTAACCTGTGCCAGGAATAACCCGGCTCCAAGGAGATAGCCCCTCCCGGAATACAGTTAAAGGGGACCACACCATTTGAACACCTGGACCTCGCTGAGGTAAAGCCATGCCGAGGATACAGATATTTACTGGTGATGGTGTGTACCTTTATATCCCACCGGGACTGAGAAAGCAAAGGAAGTGGCCCGAGGCATGCTGAGAGACATTATTCCTAGGTTTGGGTTCCCTCTGAGTATAGGATCAGATAACTGGCCCGCGTTGGTGGCTGTTACTCCAATTGGTTTGCAAAGCAATGAATATCAAATGGAAACTACATGCAGCGTATAGACCACAAAGTTCAGGGATGGTTGAGAAAATAAACCGGACCATCAAAGTAACTCTGGCAAAATGGGTGCAAGAGACTGGAGCCCCCTGGATGGATATGCTGCCGCTAGGGTTAAATAAGATCAGAATGACACCCCCCACCCCCGGTATTCTCCCTATAAGGTAATGTACGGAGGCCTCCCCCTCTTATTCGGGAAGTAAAAGGCAATCTATTACAGAAAGGAGGGATGGAGGTGTCGCGGCAATGGAACAATTGGGAAAGGTGATCCATGACATCACCCCTTATGTTCAAGAGAGCATTCCATTTTCTCTAGACATTACTGTACACCCATACTCACCGGGAGATTTAGTATGGGTAAAAGATTGGAAGCAACAGACGCTGTCCTGCACCTGTAAAGGACCATATACAATTGTACTAACCACTCCCTCTGCAGTTAAAGTTGCCGGTATTACTCCCTAGATTCACCACAGCCGGCTCAAGACAGCAGCAGAGGAAAAGGGACATTGGACCACCCATTCTAATTCAGAGGAGCCATTGAAGAACTGACTTGTCTTCCATTGGTGACCACAGATTCAGGATGGAGCCACTGTGAATAATTCTGCTGTTCCTGATCAGCACGATGACCCTACTGGAACTGCAAACTCAGGATACTGTGTTCCTGTCCTGGGCCCACTCGTATGCAAACTTCCATAGTACTTCTAACTGTTAGGTTTTTGGGGCCATGCCTTTGTCAGTGATGGATGGACTTCCTTGGTGGGTGTCTCCCCTATGCAGAGGGGACTTTAGCTCTCTCTGTTCGTCTTTGAGACAGCAACGAGAAGCATTTGCTTCCTTAGTAACACAACCTGCAGCTTCTTACTTAGCATAACCTGGACTTTAACCAAATTGATCAAGGCCATGGGGTAACATTTGAGGTAAATGCAAGCCTTACAAAAGTGGCCAAAGCCTATACCTTTTACTTAAAAGATAAAAAGAATGAGAACTCAATGGCCAGTAAGAAGGGCCAATCCATCAGGTAATTTGAACAATTTTACCAGATATGGAATGAATATTTTTGGTTGACCCCAGAAAAAGGTCAACCTATTGTCCCTGCCCTTATCTGTTGGCAACAAAGGGAACGAAAAGCTGGATTTGTTGACCATCCCATAGATCAAAAATAATTGAAATATGTGGGATATTTGTCCTCTGAGCAATGTGAACAAATATTAGAGGTCACTTATGACCCAGATTTACCAGCCGGCTGGCCTGGCTCAGACTGGAAGTATAACCCTGGGATTAGATGGCACCCTTAACAGCACTCAATGGCTGTGTGGATCAAAGCTATGGCCATGGCTTCCAGTCGGTTGGGTAGGCCACCTCACATTACAATTTGCCTTTGCTCACAGAAGTATTAAGCCATCCTTGCAACAAGTCGCAGTAAATTTGCCTTACTTACATGCATGTTGGGTAAGGTCTGTGTTTAAATGCTATGATTATATAGCTGCCTTGTTCATACCATCTATCAGTTCAGTTCAGTCGCTGAGTCATGTCCATCTCTTTGCAACCCCATGAACTGCAGCATGCCAGGCTTTCCTATCCATCACCAACCCCTGGAGTTTACTCTAACTCATGTCCATCAAATAGGTGATGCCATCCAACCAACTCATCCTCTGTCGTCCCCTTCTCCCACCTTCAATCTTTTCCAGCAACAGGATCTTTTCAAATGAGTCAGTTCTTTGCATCAGGTGGCCAAAGTATTGGAGTTTCAGCTTCAGCATCAGTCCTTCCAATGAACACCCAGGACTGATCTCCTTTAGGATGGACTGGTTGGATCTCTTTGCTGTCCAACACTCTCAAGAGTCTTCTCCAACACCACAGTTCAAAAGCATCAATTCTTTGGTGCTCAGCTTTCTTCACAGTCCAGCTCTCACATCCATACATGACCACTGGAAAAACCATAGCCTTGACCAGATGGACCTTTGTTGGCAAAGTAATGTCTCTGCTTTTTAATATGCTATCTAAGTTGGTCATAACTTTCCTTCCAAGGAGTAAGCGCCTTTTAATTTCATGGCTGCAGTCACCATCTGCAGTGATTTTGGAGCACAAAAAAATAAAGTCTTTCACTGTTTTCATTATTTCCCCATCTATTTGCCATGAAGTGATGGGGCCATGATCTTAGTTTTCTGAATGTTGAGTTTTAAGTCAACTTTTTCACTCTCCTCACACTTTCATCAAGAGGCTCTTCAGTTCTTCACTTTCTGCCATAAGGATGGTGTCATCTGCATATCTGAGGTTATTGATATTTCTCCCAGCAATCTTAATTCCAGCTTGTGCTTCATCCAGCCTGGCATTTCACATGATGTACTCTGCATGTAAGTTAAATAATCAGGGTGACAATATGCAGCCTTGACGTACTCCTTTCCCAATTTGGAACCAGTCTATTGTTCCATGTCCAGTTCTAACTGTTGCTTCTTGACCTGCAAACAGATTTCTCAAGAGGCAGGTCAGGTAGTCTGGTATTCCCATCTCTTTCAGAATTTTCCAGAGTTTGTTGTGATCCACACAGTCAAAGGCTTTGGCATAGTCAATAAAGCAGAAATAGATGTTTTTCTGGAACTCTCTCGCCTTTTCAATGATCCAGTGGATGTTGGCAATTTGATCTCTGGTTCCTCTACCTTTTCTAAATCCAGCTTGAACATCTGAAAGTTCACAGTTCACATACTGTTGAAGCCTGTGTTGGAGAATCTTGAGCATTACTTTGTGTGAGATGAGTACAATGTGCAGTAGTTTAAACATTCTTTGGCATTGCCTTTCTTTGGAATTAAAATGAAAACTGACCTTTTCCAGTCCTGTGGCCACTGCTGAGTTTTCCAAATTTGCTGGCATATTGAGTGCAGCACTTTAACAGCATCATCTGTTAGGATTTGAAATAGCTCAACTGTAATTCCATCACCTCCACTAGCTTTGTTCATAGTGGTGCCTCTGAGGCCCACTTGACTTCACGCTTCAGGATATCTATCTCAGGTGAGCGATCACACCATCATGATTATCTGGGTTGTGAAGATCTTTTTTGTATAGTTCTTCTATGTATTCTTGCCACCTCTTCTTAATATCTTCTGCTTCTGTTAGGTCCATACCAGTTCTGTCCTTTATTGAGCCCATCTTTGCATGAAATGTTCCCTTGGTATCTCTAATTTTCCTGAAGAGATCTCTAGTCTTTCTCATTCTATTGTTTGCCTCTGTTTCTTTGCATTGATCACTGAGGAAGGCTTTCTTATCTCTCCTTGCTATTCTTTGGAACTCTGCATTCAAATGAGTATATCTTTCCTTTTCTCCTTTGCATTTCACTTCTCTTGGAGTACAAAAAAATTCCTTTCATGTTATTCTTTAATAAACTCTGTCTGGGCAAGAAAAAGACCCACTGGGCCAAAGCCAAGGAACTATGCATTTGTGTGACACTTCTCAACTGGGTGGAGCTTCCTTTCCTGCTCTCATTGCCTGACTCACCAGCCTGCACAAAGGCCAACTGGCCCCCTAATCAGTCTGTCTGAGCTGAGGTCAGGGTCAGGGTCAGCACGTGCAGGCTCTGCAACAGGGCAGGCCTGCGGCACAGCTGAACCGGTTCAGAAGTCAGGCTTTGCGGTCGACAGAGCAGGGTTCACTCTGGCATTGCTGCTCACTGGCCAAGTGACTTTGCTCCATTATTCAACTTCTCTCAGCCTTAGTTTTTTCAGAAAATTGAGGTTTGGTGCAAGGGCAGAGGACATGCTGCTGTCCATGGGGTCACAAAGAGTCGGACATGACTTAGCAACTGAACAACAAAGCAGAGATAGGAGGAGAGGATGGAGAAGAGAGAGACTTGAGATGGAAGCATTTTGAAAGGAGACTAATGATGGGATGTAAAGGGTGCTACCCGCAGCAAGAAGTCACATCAGAAGTGAGCCAGCAACCCTGCCCTCCGCCTTCTCCACCATTTCCTTTCCTCTCCAAGCCCTGCCTCTCCAGTCTATTCCAGTACATTTCTTTCCTGTGCCTGGGGGGTTACCTCCCTTTGTACCACCAGGGGCTGCTTTCATTTTCTATTTATGTAATGATCCCTTCAATGGGAGATCTTTTAGCTAGAAGCAAAAGCAACACTGCCAATTCCTGTCTCCAAATACCTGGGACCAGGGTCTCTTCACCACTAGAAGTCCTCCAGATCAGATTCCCAGAATAAAACAGGAGTAGCCTGGGGCCAGGGAAAGATCACTAGGCTAAAAATCTGAAAACCAATTGTGTTGTGACCTTGGATACATCCATTAAAGCTTCTTAGCCAGGACTGTCTGCTGCAAAAGGATAGGGAGAAAGGGAGGGGAACTAGGTGAGATCTGTGATATTATGAATTCTGAGAAAGCCTAGACTCTAAAACGGTTGCATTGATAAGGGTAATGGAGTGCCAGGACCTCTCTCCTGACTGACCAAAAGTTTTGAAGGTTTATAGGAAAGAGATTTCGGAGGGAGACGCTGTAAGGATCAAAGACTTTCATGGGTGAGGTGACATTTGAAGACACAATCAAATGAGCCTGGTGTGCTGCAGTCCATGGGATCACAAAGAGTCAGACACGTCTTAGTGACTGAACAATAACAACAGAGGCCCAAACCAGTCACGGTCCTGGCACAGTCCAGAAAGGCAATTGAAGAGAGCTTAATGGAGGGACCGTTTGCAAAGGTCAGGGAAGGGACACCAGCAGGGAACGGTGACATACTCTGAGGTCAGTGCAGGAACATCACTAGTGGGTCTGAAGGAGCAAAGGGAGAGTATTTTCCAAGCAGGTGAGATTTGCAGCCGCAGTAGTGTCCCAACAGAGCTATGACTCTAGAGCAGGGAGACAGCCATTGTCACCTGCTGCCCAGTTGGGACTGAGACTCTGGAGTCTCAGTTTTCCCCTTTGGATTTTGCTGTCGTCCCCTCTGGGTAGGTCCCCTCCAGAAACCAGACTGCAAAGACTGCTGAATCTGCCCTCAGGGGTCAGCGGATGGGAAAATGTAAGGAGTAGATTGGGGTTGGGGGAGGGTGAGAGAAGTTCAAAGATTAACCGCCCAGACAACTCTTTTCAAGGATTTGCCATCTAGAGGAATAGCTGAATGTTAATCAACAACCGCAGTATTGAGTTGATTGGAGTGAGAGCTAATAGAGCCATAGCTAATATTTACCGAGTGTTCTGTGCCAGGCATTGCACCAAGGCTTCACAAACACACCTGGGTTTTCAAACACACACACAGCCTTCCTGCGAAGCCATCACTACAGTTCAACGTGTTTTGTAGCGGAAGCTTGGAGAAGTTAATAACACACCCAGGGTCACACAGCCAGCAAAACAAGTGGATTCAAACATGAATCCAGATGGCATAACCCTAGAAATACTTGCCCTTTTAGCCAAAATTCTGTGCCTCTAGGTCAAGAACACATTTACCACCCACATCTGGGTATCATCTGGGTTTGTGGGCCTTAAAAAGCTGCCTCAGCCAGAGAGAGGCTCAGATTTGGAAGGGACTTTTGCAGAGCATTTATCCCACTGAAATTTACTGAGGGTATTAATACTTGGTGAATCATTTGATCTATGTCTTTCCCAGGTTCTAACTGCTCTGGCGCATCATTTTTGTAGTTTTATCCACTTTGCCTGCTCTCCGTGAAAGTTGTCTCCTGATAATAATAAAATCGCACGTTCTCTGACTCCACCCCTACCTGAACTTTCTTCCTAGCACTAGCTCCTGCCCCTGTTGTCCTCTCACCATCCTGCAAATCCCTATAGGACTAAAGAAGTGAAAAATGTGTATCAGATACATCCTGCATTGAGCTTTCTTTTTGTTTCTGTTTTAATATACAATTATTTGCGTCCAGCTTGTTCTTCATTCCTAGGTCCCCCAGCCATGTCACTGCCCTCTCTCCAGTGACCCATGAAATATGGCCAACAAGCCGGCTGAGCTCAAAGGCCTCATGGCAGGTGATATGCATTCCCAGTAGGCAGTGCTGTGGCAAAACTGACCAACTCAGGTGTGTGCAGGCTGATCTCTAGACTTTGCTTCTCTCCCTGAAAACATCGATATCTTACATCATAAATGTAGAGGAAAGGGGTTCACAGTCCAGAGTTCATCCCCATCATAGACAGTGTCACCATCGGGGCAGGGGCACCGTGACCAGACACGTCTACCTGGAGTTCTCAGGGTGCCCTGCGAAGGGCAGATCCAGCCCGTGAGTACTCCCCAGCCTCTGCCTGTGCTCCCGCCTGAGAGACCAGGCAGCGGACAATCCTGACTGGAGCCCGGGTCCAGCCTAGTGTCTGAATCGCAAAGTGGTTCAAAGACTGAGTCACCCCGAGGAGCAGAGAAATGTGAGTGCATGAGAATTGGCTGTGGGGAGACGGCCAGCAGGTGTGAGCCACAGGCTTCTGGAAGGCCCAGGCCCTCCGACTCCTCTCTCTACTCCTCTGCTCCTGCCTCCGTGCTCAGCACAGGTCTGGCCCACAGCAAACAGACAGTGCTCTCTGCTTAGAAATGCAAGCCAGCTTCCTTGCCTCCCAGGCCAGCTCCCCTCTGCCTGCTGCCTTGCTTGGATTCTCTGTATCCCCCACTAAACCTCCAGACAGAAAACTATATTCATTCGTTCTGCAAAATGGTTACTGAGAGTCTCCTATGTTTAAAGCTCCCTGATTTAGCAAATTGTAATACAGGGTATTTTACCTAGTGATCCTACCAATATATAGAGATGAAAACATTGTAAGAGTTATGGACAAAAATGAAGCAGGGACTCAGATGTATCTGTTCTACCAGACTCCTGAGGGAGAGGTGTGACCCTTCTTCAGGTTGGTCCAGTGTCCTTCCTTCATTCCTACCTGTCTCTTCCTCTTGTCACTCTTACTGGTTGGGAAGCAGCTCATTCGGCAGGGAGTAACCCTGGGATGACTGACTTTGCAGCGAGGTATGAAGAACAGTGAACTTCCTGGTTCCCTCTCCCCGCGAGTGAGACAGGAGCCCGCGGACGTCCAGCAGCAGCAGGAGCAGTCCTCTCGGGTCATGAGCTCGGACAAGGATGGGACCCATCTGCACCATGGAGGGCAGGCCTGTAGCTCTCCCGCTGGGAGGTGCCAAGTCAGAGTCCCTGAGCACTCATCGTTTGCCCAGGGATGGGACTTCTGTGAGGCCACAGCTGCTGGGCGGAGGGATGCAGGTGAGGATGGTCTTTAAAGGGACAGAGGGTGGTACACGTGTGTAGTTCTCTCTCTTCCTTTTAGCCTCTTTTCAAAAGGTCTGAATCATTTCTGGAAGTCCTCTTGGTCTTTTTTTTTTTTTCGTTCTTGGTTTTTTTAAAAGCACTACTTTGCAGTATTTCTTAGGAAATGATTTGTTTAACAAATATTTGCTGCCTCTGTGTAAACCATCCCTGATTGCTTTGTGCTCAACACTAGGGAAAAGAAAGAATGGCCAGGACAATTTGTGAAAGATTTTCAGTGGTTAAAAAAGATGACTGGGTGTCTCTTCTATGGAATACTAACCCTGTCTGGTAGCTCTCACATTAGGGATCTCTGATTCTATAGGACTAAGCCATTGCTTATTTTTCTAGATCATTTACAACTTTGTAGAGACAGATGTTAATTTACAGAACACTGAGAGTAATTCAAATTGTTCCTGTCCTTAGTGATGCAAATGACTTGTCTCTGATAGAGAATATAATATTTTGCAAATCAAATCCTCATTTAATCCACTTTTAACATTTTTACTGGTTCTCTTATTAAATAAGTTAAATAAATTATTTGCACAGTCTTTTTTATATTTACCTTTTAAAAAATTATCCTTTATTAGGGCGTACAGTGTATTCACTGTAAAGCCATTACCAGTACAAAATAGCTAGGAAATGATACAAAACAAACAGTACACAATCTAGGGTTAAATTTTATGGAGAAAGGAAAAATATATACAAATGAGGAAGTAGGTTTCTGTGAGACGTAATGAGTAATCAAACAAAAAACCATGATGTTTTAGTCTCAGGAAAATTTCCAGAACCTATTTTGTCAATAAAAACTCTACTGTATTAAGAAGGTTAACAACAACTGGTTGTTCACTGTTTCTTTAATGCTCACAACAATGACATTCATCAGATATGCCAATGGCATTGGTCTTAGGCTGTTATATTTATGTCCAGTTATGACTGTTCTGGCTTGTATGGGTAGTTTTTATTTTATTGATTTAAATTTTCCTGCACATAAAACGTGTCACTGAATTTGCAAAACCTCTTTGGAAAGGCTCTTTAGTTACATGGAATCCTTTTGTTGATGGAGAAATAAAAGGTTTACATTCTTTTTTTTTTTTTTTCTGTTTCCTGAATCTGTTTTATTTGACATCAACCTCTCTCGTATCAGTTTTCACCAGTTTACATGTTTAGTGCTTCCATGTGCCAGACACTGCTCCAATGAAGCCAGTATCAGAGATTAAACAACTTGCCCAAGTCAGAGTCAAGTTTAATCCCAGGCAGCTCGGCTCTAAAGTTCACACTAATAACCCCATTTAGTGAGCCTGGCCTTCTAAGCCATTTCTGTTCTCTTCACCACCTCTGCTTATTGCCAATGTATTTAATATGTGACTGATACCACCACATACTTTATCTTTTTATTTGTTCCATATCCTCAGCCTGACACCATGAAGCCAGTGGCCATGGCTTCTGTGTTTTAGTCATCCAAGCCCCCTGGATGAATGCTCAGTGTAAAGGTGGTACATGATGATAATATCATATTTTGTGCTTCAAAAATCAGGTAGCTATTTACAACTTTATATACAACATATGGCACTGTTAGCTATCTTTATCATGTTGTACATTACATTCCTAGTACTTATTAATCTTATAACTGAAAGTTTGTACCTTTTGACCACATTCATCCAATCTCCCTCTTCCCACCACCCCCCTACCCCTGTAACCACAAATCTGATCTGTTTTTCTATAAACTTGTTTATCTTTGAAGTATAATTGACCTACAACACTATTAGTTCCTGTTATACTGCATAGTGATTCAATATTTCTATACATTTCAAAATAATCACCATAAGTATAGTTATTTCACCATGCAAATATATTAATGCCAATTATATCTCAGTAAAACTGGAAGAATAAAAGGAAAAAGAGGCAGCTCTAGACATGAATACAAACACCCTACAGGGCTTTTGCTTGCATGCATGTCACATCGCTTCAGTCGTGTCTGACTCTTTGTGACCCTATGGACTCTAGTCTGCCAGGCTCCTCTGTCCATGGGATTCTCCAGGCAAAAACACTGGAGTGGGCCGCCATGCCCTCCTCCAGCGGATCTTCCCAACCCAGGGTTCGAACCTGTCTCTTATGTCTCCTGCATTGGCGGGCAGGCTCCTCACCACCAGCGCCACCTGGGAAGCTCTCAGAGCTTTTGAAACTAAAAGTGAAAGTGAAGTTGTTCGATTGTGTCCGACTCTTTGCGACCCCATGGACTGTAGCCTACCATGTTCCTCCGTCTATGGGATTTTCCAGGTAACAGTACTGGAGTGGGTTGCCATTTCCTTCTCAGAGCTTTTAGAGGAGGATAAATGAAGAAATTATTTTCTCCTTTTCCTTTCAGATTTCTTTTTGATATTCCAAAGACACACTCCAAGGAATTTTCCATAATAACAGCTTTCTCCTTCCCCTATCACCCTGCTCTCCATGTTGAATGTTTCCCTACTAAGAATGTCCCGTTTGAAAAGTAGCATTGTTCCACATACTACTTTCTCAGGATCGAATTAGTTAGGGCCTGCTGACTGTGAGACTTGCTATGGATAATTTTAATGTATGACTTTGTGTTTATTTGCACTATGGGATCAGAAAATAAGCAGTTAGAAGATGTTTGCCCTTGAAAAACATGTTAGAGAATTAACTGCTGGTTTGAGATATTATCTGCCACATTGGAGCCCCAAACACATTTTATACCTGAGTTAAGTCTCTGAAAACGGGGTTTTGGTAATTGAAGCGCTGACCTGATGTTATCTCTGATAATATGCAGTCAGGCCCAGCTCTCTGAGCAGAGTGAATTTATAGACCTTAGAGAGCTCAGAGAGCTGGGAGATAGTGGAAAGTTAGAAGAAACATTCTTTTAGGCACATTTGTGTCCACGCCCTCACTTGTGTGAAGTAGTTGCATGGAGTTGTTTCCTTTTTTTTTTCTCCCCTTTGAGCCTGTTCTTCTTTTAACATCTTCATCTGAAAATTATACCATTCAAAATAAAATTCAGAAATCTATTCACCAAAACAGCAACACAGAGCCGTGATTGATGAGAAATCCAAAGGCCTATATTTTGGTTGCAAAATTTAATTCTAGGACTTTATTTTTATTTTATTTTTTACAACTTGTGTTTTTACTTCTTTTCCTTTCTTGAGCTCTCTCCCCCCCCTCCCCAAACTAAATTATATATTAGGCTTTTGAAATAGCTTCAAAGTGAGAGCCTGTGTTATTTTTAAAAAATAACTCCATATTCTCTGAAGGTGGGGTGTTCGAGTTTATTTCAGGTTTTGAGGTGGGACACACCTCTGGGCCACAGGAGGGAAGATGTCCAACTGTCTTGGCAGTTGTATCCCTCCCCTTTGTCATTTTGTAGAGGTCCACTAGGACCCCAAGCTCTACTTCCCCTTCCCCATCATAAGAACATGTGTTACCAGTGATAAGAGAACAGACTCCATATGATTTCAATACCTTTAGACCATGAAGTTTTTGCACCTTGTTTTATGCCCCTGGATATGTCCCAGTGTCTCCTGGTTTGTAGCCTATGGGAACTTGACTAGAATTTGTACCTTGCTTTTATGTGAAAATTGCGTAAATCTTAACTGTGTTGAATTACTTCATAGAGCTTTTCAGGTCTACTATATCCTTCTACTTTTCTGTCCATTCATTCTATTTTTGAGAGTTTGATACTGAAACTCCAACTAACAATCTTAATTTATCTACTTAAAAAATTAATTGTATTGTATAGTGAAACTGGGCTTCCCTGGTAACTCAGACAGTATTTTTTTTTTTTTGACTCCATGGTATTTACTGGGCTTCCTGGTGGCTCAGTGGTGAAGAACCTACCTGCCGATACAGATGACACAGGTTCCATCCAAGGATGGGGAAGATCCCCTGAAGAAGGAAACGGCAACCCACTCCAGTACTTTTGCCTAGGGAATCCCATGGACAGAAGAGCCTGGTGGGCTACAGTCCATGGAGTCTCAAAAGAGCCAGATGTGACTTAGCCACTAGACAGCAATTAAATGAATAGCATGGCCTGGGTGCTAAGGGAGATTTAAAAGAAACACATGCATAAAAGTTCATATAGATAGCTAAGTTCTCTTCTCGCAGCTTGCTTGTTGATCTGGTGGTACTGATAGCACAGGTAATATTATTGAACTCTCTATTTTATTGTGGAGGCAGACGGACACAGGGTGGCTTGGCTGAAATCACATATAGAGTCTGCAGTGGAGGTGGGACTAGTACTCAGGGCTTCTAATTCCCAGCATCATCCACTTCCCTACCAAAAATATACTTCTGTTAACAATTGCAAATAAAGTCAGGGGCTCCCACATTCCTCCCACATTCAGAGTGATTTTCAGTGGAAGGCATCTCTTCTCATGATTTGAGGAAAAGGGGACAATTGCCACCCTTTCCTCCAGACCCGAGTTTCAGTTCCATATTTCAGGAGTGATTTGGAGCTCCTTCATTTAACACTTAAAGAATCTGCCTGCAATGCAGGAGACCTGGGTTCGATCCCTGGGTTGGGAAGATCCCCTGGAGAAGGGAAGGGCTTACCCACTCCAGTATTCTTCCATGGTTAGCGGAGCCTGGCGAGCTACAGTCCATGGAGTTGCAAAGACACAGACACGAGCAACTAACACACACACACACACCCAGAGCCTTTATACTTAAGGCTTGTTTTTCCATGATGACTCTCAAAGTACCTTGGTTTCCCAGCCATCCGGTGGGAGAGAATGGGGCAGAGCTGGAGTCATTCATTCTCCCAGCCAGGCCCCTCTGCTGCCGGTCTGGCCCAGGCACGTCTGGGCGCCCCAGCACCCCCAAGCTTTAGCCTTTGCCCGCTTTTCACTGCAGGAATGATGTCCAGCACTGCCGGCTCCGGCGCTGTCTTCCTAAAAGACTTTCCTTGGGCGACAGCTCAGACCTCACTCCTGCTTCTTCTGGGACTTCTCCTGCTGACTGCTCTTGGTTTCATCTGGAAACTTCGCCGAGAGAAAGATCGAGAATGCTGGACCAAAGGTAAAGGAATCAGAAGACCGAGGCAGTGAGGTCCAAAGAAGACTATGGAAAAGGGATTGGACAGAGGGGAAAGGAGAGGACCAGAAGTTGAGGTTTTTATATTCAGTCTTTCTTTCCTCAATAACAGCACCCCCACCTCCTGGGACCCTGACTGTGCCCTGGCTTTTCTAGTCTGGGGACAGCTCTCCGGACTCACTGCACATATGATGCAGGAAAGGGTCTAAACCTGGCCTGTGAATGGTACTGATTCATTTCTTGTCCTTTTGTAGAGCAACTCCAAAGAGAGCTCCGTAAGTTCCGTACTTCCTCCTCCTGTGTGTACGATTTGAGACCCTCTCACATGTCATTGATCTCATGAAGTTTCCTTGTTCTACTTCAGGCTGGAGAAAAGCCCAGAAAGTGGATGGTGAGTAAATTGGAATTTTTGTTTTTCATCTAAGGCTTTATCTGCTTCATTTAATAAGTGCCTTTCTCCTGATTCTTTCCTTTGAGGACTTGCTCATTCTTGCACCATCTGGACTTAAGCCATATAACCCCAATAGCTCTGTTGATATGTCATGGATGCCCCAAAGATTTTTCAAACCTATGACCAACACTGAACTCCATTCCCTTTGTTGTCAACCTGCCCTTCCTCCTCCCCTCCCCTCACCATCCAGTGCTACCACCACCCACCCAAGCGGGCTCCTTTCTCTCCTTCCCTCAGGGCAAACCCTTTTCCTGCTTAGTCTAGGACCCCTTCTCAGGCATAGAATACCTCCCCCAATCTTTCTTTCTTCTTTTCTCACAGATCCCTGGGAATAGGTTATCAAGACCCTTCTCTCAACAGCAAGCTGCTTCTGTTCCCTCAAGAGCTACTGCTGCCCTTTTCCCTTTTAAGACTTTTAGTTTAAATAAATATTAAGAAACAGACAAAAAAATCTTAAAAAACAACCAGCATAAACAAGACCTTGTCTGTGAAAAGTTTTCCATAGTTTAGAGTTTCAGAATAAACTTGCTAAATAGAAATCTGATTACATTCCTCTTAAGCCCCAAACCATCCCTGGTTTCCCATTGCCTTCTGCCATCTTACTGGGGTGGATATTTGTAAATTCTAAAAGGATTTTCAAATTTCTAAGAAAAATTGTCTTGATGTCAATTTTTGTCAAAACTAACACAACCTAAGCAGATTCTACATCACCTGCTTAATATCCTTTTTTTTCCTGATAATCAATTATTGTGTGAATGGTTCTAGTTTCCAAGCTAACTGCTGTGTTCATAACTGCATTAGTGACAAAGGAACCAAAGACAGATTTTAACTTTCATTGCTACATTTTTTAATTGGCTCCCTCAGGACTTTGAAGATTTATTTTCAGAGGAAATTACTTTGTGTCTAACCGAGGTTTTTACATAACTCAATTGAAGAAACACTACATTAAAAGGTAAAGTCCAATCTGCAATTTTTATCCCCACAATGCAGTCACCCTTAATGGTCCAGTCCAATTTCTGTTTCATCCCTGGACACTCCCTGACACGTGCCACCCCACACTGGACTGACCACACCACCAGCAGTGCCCCACATGTATCATTCGTTTTCCCACTTCTGTGCCCATTTCCTCTGTCTGTTCATCACATCTGCTGACCCTGTTTGTTCTACTCATTCAGACAAACTGGGACAGGCTCCTTAACCTCTTTGAAGTTCTACTTTTCCCACCTAGAAATTGATTTAGTTGCAACGACTACTTTGAGCAGATGTTAGGAAATGAGATAAAGGTGTGGAGGACACCCAGTACAGTCATAGCACGTAGCTAAGTTCAGTGAACATTAGCTTTGATCCTTCATCACCACATCCTTTTCCCACACCTCCAAAGTTGATGCAACCCCCCACCTCAGAGAAAAAAAGAGAAGGGAGGGGGGCAAACTTCCTGCCCCCCCACCTGCACCTGCACTTTCTGATCTGTAGGCTCTGACTTCAGCAGAGCAGGCATCTTTTTCCCTTTCTGAGGCTATTTCTTCATTCTTGTCCTGGATCACTCACTCTCCTGCTTCCCTCATGGATTCTCTATTCATTTCATTCATTCATTCATCAGCTCAACAAAGATCCACAACTGTTAACTATGTTACTAGTAACTAGTAACTAAGTTACTCTTCTAAGTGCCCTAGGCACAGAAATGAACACAACCAAAATACCCATTCACAAAGAATCTACCTTCTAGTGGAAGAAGATAGAAAAAAAATGAAATAGTATAATACATAGTTTGGCACATGATAATAAGCACTCAGGAGATAACAGCATATTGCATTGGAAGGTGCAGTTTAAAATAGGGTGGTGAATTGTACACCTGTAACAAAATATTGTACATCAACTATACTTCAATTTAAAAAATTATAATAAAATAGAGTGATGGTGAAGTAGAGGAGCAAGCCACAGGAATAGCTGAGGGAAAAGCATTCTAAGTAGAGAGAACCACGATGCCAAAGCCCAGAGTCAGAAACACACTAGTTTGTTTGAAGAGTAGCAAAGGGGCCGGTGTTGCTGGAAGGCAGGAGTCATCAGGAGAATCGGAACGGGTAGAATCAGAGGGGTTTGGAGGGCCAGATCACACAGCCTTGAAAGTCATCCATGCTGGCATTGGCTTTGCTTCTGAGAAAGGAGGGTTTTGAGCAGAAGGGGAACTGAACCTGACTTATGCTTTGAGAAGTTACTTTAGATACTACACTGAGATTGACTTGGTGGCGCTAGAGGTAAAGAACACACCTGCCAATACAGGAGACGTAAGAGACACAGATTCAATCCCTGGGTCAGGAAGATCCCTGGAGGAGGAAATGTCAACCCACACCAGTATTTTTGCCTGGAGAATCCCATGGACAGAGATGCCTGTCAGGCTACGGTCCATAGGATTGCAGAGAGCTGGACATGACTGGACCAGCTGGGAGCTACTGCAGACATCAAGGGGAGAAATGAGGATGGTTTTTACCAAGGGGGAGTGCTGGAAGTGGTGAGAGGGGCCTCAGTGCTGGATTTATTTTTAAAACAGAGTAAAAATACCCTTGTTGATAGTGTAGTGCAAAAGTAAAAGAGTGGATCAAGGATGACTCCACGGTTTTTAGGCCTAAGAAACTATAAAAATGGAATTGCCATTTTTCTGCAATGGGGAAGCCAAAAGAAAACCAAGGGGCAAGGGGAGGGGGAAGCACAGAATCAAAATGTTGAAGAGGGTGTTAGTGATGCAAGTGAAGATGCAGAGTAGGCAGTTGGATAATCAAGTGTGTAGTCCATACAGGAGGTCAGGGCTAGAAATATAAGCTATTCTTACTTCTCCTCTGTATCTTTTTCTTTATTTCTTTTTCTTTCTTTTTTTTTTGGTTACCTTTTGTAATTTAAAATGCCTTTTTTAGATTAAAAAATTTTATTAATTGGAGTATAATATATTTACAATATTGTATTAGTTTCAGGTGTTCAGCATGGTGATTCAATATTTTTGCAGGTATTAGTCTAAGTCCTCCCCCAGATAAATTAAGTAGCAAGTGTTAGTCTGATCTCCATCCTACAGATGTAGAAATGGAGACACTGAATAATTAATTAAACTGGCTTTGGGTTTCATGGCTAATGAGTTGTGGCTAATAACATGTTGGGGTCAAGGCAAGAGCTGTGAGCTAATAGTGGATACAGTGCCCAGAGGACACGGGCAGCACCCCAGGTGAGGGTACAAAAATAAATAATATGGGATTCCCTAATCACAGCAAGAAGTGACATATTAACTATGAAAAAGACATGTTTCCTGCGGAGACTAGCTAAATAAGAGATAGATTTCCAGGCAGCTAGCCATCCTTACTCCATGCAGGACAGTGTATGGAGGTCATGGAAAAGATGCAGGAGATGGGATCAGGTGCCTGGCTGTGGGAATGACTAACGCATGATCACAGTGAAGAAAGGAGTGAATCCCTCAGAGTTCTGTCCTGTATCCAGGACCATGTCCCCTGCAATGGCAGCCTTCGCGTGTTTGCATAAGCTGGTGCCTTTCAGCTGTTGAGGCACAAAGCCGTCCGGTATGGGAATGCAGAGAGATGAGTGAAGAGCTCCTAGTGGAGTTGGAGCCTGTGCTTAGGAAACAAGAAGGGGAAACAGAAGAATACATTTTGTCTGGCCTCCTTCCTCCTAGACATTTTCCCTTTTAGGAACGTGAGGGAAGGAGCCCAGACAAGCTCTGGAGATGAGTGATGAGGATGCCAAGGAGGGAAGGAAAGGCAACCAGCACAGAGAAAGGGCCAAGAAATGTATGCCTCTCGCCAGGGAGCACTCACCTCTCTTTTTTCTATTGCAGACTGGAAAAAAGCTCGGTCCTATGCTGGTGAGTGACTATCTGATTCTTACGGTATCAGGCCCAGAACTCCATAAAAGAAGATCTTAGTGGTCTTTCTCCATCTTCCAGCTCCAAATAGTGGTTGGGCAGGCAATGAATGGAGACCCAGGGAAGATCCAAGTAACATCAAGATCAAGTATTACCCAGTTTCAGTTCAGCACCTTCACCTTTTTCCTTTCCAGAAGTTTATACCATTTTTTTTTTCCTTCTTAAAAGGCTCCTCATCTACTTTCTCTCTTGAGTTTCTCTACTACTCATGGCAACCCACTCCAGTAATCTGGACTGGAGAATTCTATAGACAGAGGAGCCTGGCAGGCTACAGTCCATGGGGTTGCAAAGAGTCAGACATGACTGAGCAACTATCACTCAATATCTTCAGCATCATCGGCCTGAGGGTACAACTAGAAAGATTACATTCAAATGACATACCGTTTCTAGTGGGTTCTGTGCATCTTAGAGGAGATGTGGCCACTCTGTCCACCTAGCTTCTCTCCCCTCAGAGCATCTCATTAGGTAAACACAACAATAGCATATTACTCCATCTCTTCAGTGTTCAGGACAGATCAGATGGGGATGTGGGAGCTTTGCTAGATTTTGACCTAGGGCCTCACTCTACTCTACACTAAGCCAGCAAATGGCAGAAAATGGAATGCAAATATTGTGTAAAGGTTTTCTTATTGGTGAGGGCTGGAAGCAGCCAACTCTTCTGCTGGATACCCAAGAGGAACTGGACATCTCGCTATGCACCTAGGAGGAAAAGGAGCCAATATTTGATGAACCCATAAAAATTTCTCCCATACGACTCTTCTAAACTGTGAGATTCAGGAACAGTCTATTAAAAATTCATTTGATCAGATGTTTTACACAGTTGGCCAAAAATCTCTGGCCAGATAATCCATGAAATGTCCTGGGGCTTCAGGTTGGCAGAGAGAGGTGGCTAGAGGCTGTCCAAGGACCTTCCCTAGCCCTTTATTCTGCAAATATTGTTAAGCACCAACTGTGTGGCAGAGTCTGAAAATGCTAGACAGTAGGAATACAAAGATGAACAAACATAGTCTGTATTTTTGGGGGTCCTGGTCTGGTAGAGGAGAGAAATACGAAATAAACAATAATAGTGCAGTGACATGAGAGGGTATTGTACAAAATGCTGTGAGGGATGAGAGGATGGGGTGAGGGGGTTGTGATTAGCCACCCCTGCTCCCAGGGACCTGGAACCTCTGGATTATCTCCTCCTTGTAAGTCTCTGAACTCTCCTAACAGCTCTTTGAAGTATGATCTTGAGGACATCTGGGGGAGATGCTTATCACTCCAGCTCTTTTGTGGAGGAAGGAAGGCAACTTCATGGGCTAGGAATGGCTTCTTTTCTCCCCACTTCCCAGTCACTGAGGGCCCTGGGATACAGGAGTTGACAGGACATCTGTTCTCTCTCACTCTTTCCACAGTTCATGTGACTCTGGATCCAAATACTGCCTTCTTTGAACTCTTTCTGTCTGAAGATCACCAAAGTGTGAAGCGAGGAAACTTGTGGCAGAATCTTCCTGAAAAACCTGAGAGGTTTTCTTTTGACCCTTGTGTGCTGGGCCATAGGTCCTTCTCTTTGGGGAGACATTACTGGGAGGTGGAAGTGGGCGACAGGACTTACTGGGAGCTGGGGGTTTGTGAGGAAAACGTGGATAGGGCTTGGGGGATCGCAGAATCACCTCAGAATGGATTCTGGGCTGTGGAACTCTATGCTAATAAGTACCAGGCCCTCACCTCCCCTCGGACTGCCCTCCCCCTGAGTGAGCCCCCCAGCCGGGTGGGGGTCTTCTTGGACTATGAAGCTGGGCATGTCTCCTTCTACAGTGTGGCTGATGGGTCCCACATCTACACTTTCCCCCAGGCCTCCTTCTCTGGGCCTCTTCGGCCTTTCTTCTGCCTCTGGTTCTACCACCCAACCCCTCTGACCATCTGCCACTGAACCCATCTGTCCCCATCCTTTCTGTCAGTTGAACGTACAAGGATGGACTCATCATTGGGACTGAGAAGTCACATTTCTGGGGACAATGCCCCCAAGGCTCCAGCTGAGCCCCCCTGACCTTTTCTGCAGATAAAGACTGGAGACAGTTTATAATTCTCCAGAGTTGAGTGGTACAGAGGCCAAAAAGGATAATGCAACCCCCTAGAATGTTGTCAAGAGAGGCTGGTGTTGCCATCCCAGCTGGAAACTGAAAAAGGAACCCCTAGAGAAACCAGAGACAAGATACTGATGGAAAGACTACCTGGGTGGAGTGTGATCTCTGGTCTTGAGCTCCTTGTCTTTAATGTCTGCATCACAGAACAGCTGGAAGCTGAATCTGGAGGGTGCTTGGCTGTTTTCACCCTCTTTTCATACAAAGACTTTACTTCATTTTGACCCACATGCAACCTGGGGATAGACTAAATAAAGTTCACAGAGAAAAGTCACTTTTCCAGATCACTCTGTTGGTCTGGGACTTGATGGCACCTTCAACATTTTTACATCTAATGCCAATCATAGAGTGCCTCTAAGAGCTCAATCATTCCTTATAAAACGATTGCAATGACCCTTTCAGTGACGCTTTTTACCCCAGATCCAAGATTTACTTTTCTAGTTTGTGAATTTGTTTACTGCTCCTTTCCCTAATTATCTTCCTACCTTTAGACTATTTTACCTCATCAACAGTTAAGTGCATATTAATTTTTTTCTATGCTTTATGCAAATACACACACACAGAGTTTTTCTAATGAAAATTGGGCTTTGTTATATAATTGTCCCATGACATGCTTCTTTTACTTAATACCAACTCTTGGTGGCTCAGGCGGTAAAGCATCTGCCTGCAATGCAGGAGACCTGGGTTCAGTTTCTGGGTTGGGAAGATCCCTTGGAGAACGGAATAGCAAACCACTCCAGTATTCTTTGGAGAAAGAAATGGCAACCCACTCCAGTGGGTTCTCCATTCTTGCCTGGAGAATCCCCATGGACAGAGGAGCCTGGCGGGCTACAGTCCATGGGGTCACAAAGAGTCAGACATGACTGAGTAACACAAATCTTAAATACTAATCTATAATTATTTGCAATCAAGATGGTTTTGTTTCTTTCCTATTAGAAATAAAGCTACTATAAATATCATTGTATGTAAATCAATAAAAGTATTCTCAAACCATTAGCAAGACTCATTAAGAAACAAAGGGAGAAGAACCAAATTAACAAAATTAGAAACGAAATTGGAGAGATCACAACAGACAACACTGAAATACAAAGGATCATAAGAGACTACTACCAGCAGCTCTATGCCAATAAAATGGACAACTTGGAAGAAATGGACAAGTTCTTAGAGAAGTATAACTTTCCAAAACTGAACCAGGAAGAAATAGAAGATCTTAACAAACCCATCACAAGCAAGGAAATAGAAACTGTAATCAGAAATCTTCCAGCAAACAAAAGCCCAGGACCAGATGGCTTCACAGCTGAATTCTACCAAAAATTTAGAGAAGAGCTAACACCTATCTTACTCAAACTCTTCCAGAAAATTGCAGAAGAAGGTAAACTTCCAAACTCATTCTGTGAGGCCACCATCACCCTAATTCCAAAACCAGACAAAGATGCCACAAAAAAAGAAAACTACAGGCCAATATCACTGATGAACATAGATGCAAAAATCCTTAACAAAATTCTAGCAAACAGAATCCAACAACATATTAAAAAAATCATACACCATGACCAAGTGGGCTTTATCCCAGGAATGCAAGGATTCTTTAATATCCGCAAATCAATCAATGTAATACACCACATTAACAAATTGAAAGATAAAAACCATATGATTATCTCAATAGATGCAGAAAAAGCCTTTGACAAAATTCAACATCCATTTATGATTAAAACTCTCCAGAAAGCAGGAATAGAAGGCACATACCTCAACATAATAAAAGCTATATATGACAAACCCACAGCAAGCATCACCCTCAATGGTGAAAAATTGAAAGCATTTCCCCTGAAATCAGGAACAAGACAAGGGTGCCCACTCTCACCACTACTATTCAACATAGTTTTGGAAGTGTTGGCCACAGCAATCAGGGCAGAAAAAGAAGTAAAAGGAATCCAGATAGGAAAAGAAGAAGTGAAACTCTCTCTGTTTGCAGATGACCTGATCCTCTACATAGAAAACCCTAAAGACTCTACCAGAAAATTACTAGAGCTAATCAACGAATAGAGTAAAGTTGCAGGATATAAAATTAACACACAGAAATCTCTTCATTCCTATACACTAACAATGAGAAAACAAAGAGAAATTAAGGAAACGATACCATTCACCATTGCAACAAAAAGAATAAAATACTTAGGAGTATATCTACCTAAAGAAACAAAAGACCTATACATAGAAAACTATAAAACACTGATGAAAGAAATCAAAGAGGACACAAACAGATGGAGAAATATACTGTGTTCATGGATTGGAAGAATCAATATTGTCAAAATTGCTATACTACCCAAAGCAATCTATAGATTCAATGCAATCCCTATCAAACTACCAACGGTATTTTTCACAGAACTAGAAAAAATAATTTCACAATTTTGAAACCTCGAATAGCCAAAGTAATCTTGAGAAAGAAGAATGGAACTGGAGGAATCAACCTGCCTGACTTCAGACTATACTACAAAGCCACAGTCATCAAGACAGTATGGTACTGGCACAAAGACAGAAATATAGATCAATGGAACAGAATAGAAAGCCCAGAGATAAATCCATGAACCTATGGTCACCTTATCTTCGACAAAGGAGGCAAGGATATACAATGGAAAAAAGACAATCTCTTTAACAAGTGGTGTTGGGAAAACTGGTCAACCACCTGTAAAAGAATGAAACTAGAACACTTTCTAACACCATACACAAAAATAAACTCAAAATGGATTAAAGATCTAAATGTAAGACCAGAAACTATAAAACTCCTAGAGGAGAACATAGGCAAAACACTCTCTGACATAAATCACAGCAGGATCCTCTATGACCCACCTCCCAGAATATTGGAAATAAAAGCAAAAATAAACAAACGGGACCTAATGAAACTTAAAAGCTTTTGCACAACAAAGGAAACTATAAGCAAGGTGAAAAGACAGCCCTCAGACTGGGAGAAAATAATAGCAAACGAAGCAACAGACAAAGGATTAATCTCAAAAATATACAAGCAACTCCTCCAGCTCAACTCCAGAAAAATAAATGACCCAATCAAAAAATGGGCCAAAGAACTAAACAGACATTTCTCCAAGGAAGACATACAGATGGCTAACAAACACATGAAAAGATGCTCAACATCACTCATTATCAGAGAAATGCAAATCAAAACCACAATGAGGTACCATTACACGCCAGTCAGGATGGCTGCTATCCAAAAGTCTACAAGCAATAAATGCTGGAGATGGTGTGGAGAAAAGGGAACCCTCTTACACTGTTGGTGGGAATGCAAATTAGTACAGCCACTATGGAAAACAGTGTGGAGATTTCTTAAAAAGCTGGAAATAGAACTGCCATATGACCCAGCCATACCACTTCTGGGCATACACACCGAGGAAACCAGATCTGAAAGAGACACATGCACCCCAATGTTCATCGCAGCACTGTTTATAATAGCCAGGACATGGAAGCAACCTAGATGCCCATCAGCAGACGAATGGATGAGGAAGCTGTGGTACATAAACACCATGGAATATTACTCAGCCATTAAAAATAATTCATTTGAATCAATTCTAATGAGATGGATGAAACTGGAACCCATTATACAGAGCGAGTAAGCCAGAAAGATAAAGACCATTACAGTATACTAACACATATATATGGAATTTAGAAAGATGGTAACGATAACCCTATATGCAAAACAGAAAAAGAGACTCAGATGTATAGAACAGACTTTTGGACTCTGTGGGAGAAGGCGAGGGTGGGATGTTTCGAGAGAACAGCATCGAAACATGTATATTATCTAGGGTGAAACAGATCACCAGCCCAGGCTGGATGCATGAGACAGGTGCTCGGGCCTGGTGCACTGGGAAGACCCAGAGGGATCGGGTGGAGAGGGAGGTGGGAGGGGGGATCGGGATGGGGAATACATGTAAATCCATGGCTAATTCATGTCAATGTATGACAAAAACCACTGCAATGTTGTAAAGTAATTAGCCTCCAACTAATAAAAATAAATGGAAAAAAAAGTATTCTCAATAAAAGTGTGTTAAATCAATGAATTCTTTCTTGTTCCATTTCATATATATTTCCCTCTCATGACTTTATGTAAAGGTCTGGATAAGAAGTAGATCTGGAGCCTATTTCTCTGGAAACTGTAAAGTTAAGAGGACAAAATGTTGTGCCTGGAAACCCCTTCTCTGAAGTTCAGCATCTATGCTGAAACGCAAGGCTGCTTCTCAATGTCAGCGTAGTTTGGATCCTCCAGACAAGAGGGGACTATTTCATTCTTACTGATATAATTTCCAGCAGCAAAGCTTTTTGATGGATGATGAATTTTAAACATGAAATTTCACAGTGAGTCAGGAAGCAGGAAGCAGTCTGAGAAAGTGGTTGATATGCCCCTTTGCAGTTGTTTTACGACCTTGGAAGACACACTACTTCCTGTTAACTGTCTGTTTTTCCAGCCTGATGACTTGGAGGGCAGATTTTTAAATCCCTTGGACTCTCTTTTCTATAAGAATGGACTCATTGTACTACTTCCCCAAACTGGGTTTGAATACTAAGAAGCAGGGACCTTTTACCCCATTGCAAATGAGAAAGCAAGAAAGGTCACCACCAGTTCTACTGGAACCATCTGAGAAAATTTGGCAAAAGCTGTCTTGTTTTATCTGCTCAAACCCACACAGTCCGATCCAGAAATATTGCCTCAGTATGTGCCTCTAGTGTTCTATCAGGATGCAAGGTACATAGGCTTCATTAAGCCGGACTCTGTGATCTTCCTTGAATGTGTCGTCTAAGACATCATACCTTACTGCAGAAAGAATGCTAACTCTTTGTAAGTTTAAAAAAAAAAAAAAAGGCAGAAAATAGAACTTGCGTAAGCATCCAGCTATCTCTACCACAGAGCCTAAATTCAAACTTTTGTAATATTATTAAATTCCAAGAATTTCCTGGTGATCCAGTGATTGAAACTCATGGTTTCACTGATGTGGGCCCAGGTTAGATCCCTGCTTGGGGAAAGAAAAAAATATAGATAGATAGATAGATAGGCTTTCCTGTATAAAATATATATATAGGCTTCCCTGGTTGCTTAGTGGTAAACAGCCAATGTAGGAGATACAAGAGATGAGGGTTCAATACCTGGGTTGGGAAGATCCCCTGGAGTAGGAAATAGCAACCCACTCCAGTATTCTTGCCTGGGAAATCCTTTGGACAGAGGAGACTGGTAGGTTATAGTCCATAGTGTTTCAAAGAGTCCGACACGTCTGGGCACACACATGTGTATCTTGTTGTTGTTGGTTGTTTAGTCACCAAGTTCTGTCTGACTTTTTGTGACCCCATGGATTGTAGCCCACCAGTCTCTGTCCAAAGGATTTCCCAGGCAAGAATACTGGAATGGGTTGCCATTTCCTTCTCCAGGGGATCAATCTTCCCAACCCAGGGACTGAACCATGTCTCCTGCATTGACATTCAGATCCTTTACTGCTGAGCCACCAGGGAAGCCCATATATGTGTATGTATGCATATGTGTGTGTGTGTGTATACACATATATACATATATATAATTAAATTCCATCAGCAAAGCCATACTGAAGTCCTTTAAGCTTTAATCGTTGTCCCAAGAGGCAAACAAATTGTCTTGGGAGCCTCTAGGCCACAGATAGGACCACTTTGTCCCAAAAACCACTATTAGAAACAGTATCCACAGACCAGCCAGACTCTAACCTCAGGGAATAAGAATCCTGCTGGTAGCGAAGAAAGAAATACATATGAAAATACAAATTTAGCTCAAATAAGGCTCAGAGGGTTCATGAGCCTTCTCAGCAACACCCCAAATAAGAATTTTTCTGAAAATGGAAAATATGCTAATCTATCACCAGAACACTGCTCTAGAAAATGTGAAAATTATATTATTTGATGATGAATCTGAGACCTAAATTTCAGAGGTGCTAAAAAAGGTGGAGAGGGTCTGGTTTTCTGTTCATTTGGCTCTGTTGTAAAATATATTCGCCTCCATGTTCCCTGTACATGCAAACAGACGTTAGCCAAAAGCCACAGAAATGTTTTAATTAATGCATGTCTTCATCTTCACACGTTCAAACCTTTTTTTCTCTATTCAGTAAATCTTTTATGAGAAAAAGTGAATCTATTATCATATGTAAGACATAAAGCAGGTGTATATAATAAATACTGATTTATACAAAAGCACATATGCATAAATGATTCAATTAGGGAAACACAGAGTGATACAAAGTGAGAATTAGGCTGTGTTTTTTTTTCCCCCCATAATCCAATACAGTTTCAGTTTTCAAACCTCATTGGTTTCCGCCCAGCAACTGATGAGAAACACCCCTCTGAGCCAATCCGAAACTAATTCTTTCACAGACGGACTCCGTTACTCTTTGTCAGAGTGAGAATGCATCTCTTTTTCCTTTCTTCCAGAGAAAAGAGACTCTTATTTATAATGAGGAACTATCGATTATCTTTACTCTGTGGGCTGTAATTTTCAGATGGGATTGCCAAGAGGTAAGTGTGGGGAAAATAGGTAAAATCCAGGGCTACGAGCCCTGGAAAGAAGGAGGCTGAAGAGCTGAGAGTGGGCCTTGCCCAGAGAAAATGATTGGGGCTCGAGTGAGCTGTAGTCAGGGGATGAGGGGGTGGGGACAGTAGGGCAATGCAAAAGCTAAAGACCTGAATTTGAGCGTTTGTGGGAGAGTCACAATGTGAATGAAAAAAGCTTGCTGACTGCATGTTCTTAGGAGATTACGGTGATCAGAAAGGAGCAAAGGACTCTTATCTCTCCTAGTCATCTCTGGGAAAGTGTTCTAAGAGATTCTGGAAAAAGATATGCATGTAAAGATGTTCATTACAGAATTATTTGCAATTTAAAAAATCTGAACCAACATATGCAACAGTTGGAAAATGGATACAAACACATTGTCCAATCATGAAAGGGCTTTTGGAATCATGTTTTTAATAAAGGGTTTTTGTTTCTAATTGTAACAAAGCTGGATTTAATTTGGAGCTTTAAATTGCATCTACATTTTGCTATTGAATCTTATTTATTATGAACAGCTTTAAACGTGAATGTTTGTTTTAATACCTGACTTTTTTTTCTTTAAGAGTAGTTTCTACAAGTGGAATTTCTGGGTCAAATGATAATTTTGACAATTTTCAGGCGTTTAGTATATATCTATGGTCAAAATACTTCTGGGAATCCTTATAGTCCCATGAAGCAAAGTATATGATTACTATCACAGATTATTTAAATTTTATTCCTTCATATTTTTCTCTGTTTTGATGTTGTATATAATCAGAAACAAAAAAAAAAACCGATACTATCCCCCCAAAATTAGTGAAAATATATTCCTCACTCTTAAGACAGCATTGAAATTGTTACCTATATAATAATGATAATAATAATAATAATGTCCTCTCTCTAGCATCTTAGAGAGCAGTTTCGAAAAGCAGAAGATATAGTGAAAGGCAATCTGTTGTCTGAGGGTATGTCCGAGTTTCACGCAGGCTCCCAAGAATTCCCAGCTGGAATTCTGGTTCCTCCTCAACCCATTCACCTCCCTCTGCCAGCCTTGTTCTCAAAGACAGTTCTTGGCACAGGTTTAAGAGTAGCAGGTACTATGAATGCAGGCCTTATACTGGTTTGTTTAGGGCAAATTGGTGTGAAGAAATTTTATGTATTTATTGACACACAGTTGATTTACAGGAGTTGATATTTTCTGAACCACTAATATGTTGCAGTCAGAGTAAGTATTGTAAAAAAATTTTAATTGCTGAGTAAAACATGAAAACTTTTAAAACTGAAAACATCTGAATAATTTTCAAAGGTGGGAGGCAAAGCACAAAAGTGTCTCTCATTCAATCTTCAATTTTCAGTTTAGCATGCATTCTTTTAAGGTGATTTGGACAGTAGCATGCCAGGCTCCTCCATCCATGCAGATTCTCCAGGTAAGAATACTGGGGAGTGGGGTGCCATGCCCTTCTCCAGAGGATCTTACCAACCCAGGGATCAAACCCAGTCTCCTACATTGCAGGCAGATTTTTTACCATCTGAGCCACCAGGGAAGTCCAAGGTATAAACAGGTACATACAAATTCATAACTTAGGTTTTCTGTTTTAATATAATCATTAATTTTCTCTCCAGTGTGCTTTTTATTTAATATATCTTGATTTTCTGGGTTAGTAACTATAAATTACTCTTAACTACCACACTGAGTTCCCTCATACAGATCAGCCTTTATTTAACCAACCAGTCTTCTGTTAGTGGTTAGAGTGGCTGGTTAGCTTGTTTACCCCCCCCCTTTTTTTTTTACTTTTAAAAATAATGTTTCAGTGTCAACCTTACACACAATTCTCTCTGCACCCATGCAAGTGTTTTGCTCGACCAGATATCTGGAAGTGAAGTTGCTAAGTCAATTGTATACATTCTAAACTTTCTGTTTCATCATGTGTCATGAGTAACTGAAGTTCAAACAGGTTTTTTAAATCACAGAGCTGGTGAATCACAGCGCCATGACCTACCTCCCACACCCTTTTCATTTCCAACATCTAACACATAGTGGGTCTGGCACACAGTGAGTGCTCGACAAACATTTGTTGAAGGAATGAAAATGCCTGGGTGAGACATGGCCTTATTCTTAACTCTCCAAGTCACTCGCCTTGGGGTTAAGAAGTAGTAGGTTCATGGGACTTCCCTGGAGGTCCAGTGGTTAGGATTAGGCACTTTCAGTGGCAGTGGTCCAGATCCTGCAAGTCGGGAAGCTTGGCCAAAACTTTAAAAAAAAAAAAAAAAGAAGTGGTAGGTTCAGCCTCTGATTGACCCAGGGAATCTGCCAGGATCTTGACCAAAGTCTGATGGGAGAGTGATGTGATCTTTGTGATGGCCATGGGTTGGGCCTAAAGGAGACAGATGGGCACACCCTGAGTCATTCGTCAGCACACCATTCCATCTGACATTTTCAGGAAAGGAAAGAACACATGATGGGAGGAGGGAAAGGGCTCCATCTGGAGTTCTTAGTCTTGTCTTGAAATAATCAACTCCCAGGCTCTCCACTATCTAGGGAGGATGACAACTCTGGTGAGGTTGGAGTGGAAGCCAAGTTAGAACTCCAGCTATAATCAAGCCTGGCTAGCTGTCAAGGGCCCCACACTTCTCTTATCACATAAGGTGAAGATGCTGTTATGGACCAAGATACATTTGGAAACACTGGGCTGGAACTGGGGAGTTGCAGGGGCCCTGCCTCTGAGCTGGGAGAGCCCCAGCACTTCATAGAGGCATGAGCTGCGCTGGTCTGCTGTGTGTTTGGAAGTTGACGTGTTTGCCCTTCCGTGCAAGTGCCAAAAATTACATCTCCACCCCTAAAAGGCACTTCCCTAGCAGTGCAAAGACCAAGATAGGGAAATTATCCATTGCTGGTGAGCCCAGAGGCAGGCCATCTGCCAAGGAGCATTGATAAACATGGGAGGAACGGGAAAACAGAAAGAGAACCATTTCCTTTCCAGAGATGTTTCTCCCACTAAAGAACAGATGTTTCCCCCCAAATAACTTTTTTTTTCTTGGTCACACATGAGATTAGTTCCTCAACCAGGGATCAAAGTTGGCAGTGAAAATGCAGAGTCCTAACCACTGGACCACCAGGGAATTCCCAGAACAGTTGTGAAAAGAGTTCACTAAAGGTTTACCAAGTTGCAACACTTGCATGTCCAGGATAGGCTTGCTCTTTGAAACCACTTTATTGAAAAATAAGAATAAATGCTTTAATACAACTAAGTTCCCAGTGGAAGCGCAGGAGGCCAGGCTCTGCTCTCTAAGCCAGGCCAAAAGAGCATTATCATTATGCAGAAAAATGCTTATCTCCATAAACTCTCCACCTCCCTTCCTCTCATTAGTTGGATGACACCCAACTATTCTGATCATCTAAACTGAACTGAAATGCTAGTGAGTATTGATGGTTTAATATGTCAGCCCTCATCCATTCACTAATTCAACAAATATTCACTGAGGGTTCCATGTGAACCACCACCGTTCTTACAGGTGTCTTACACATCAGGAAACAAAATAGACCAATATCATTGCTTTGTGGAACTTACACTCTAGCAGGTGGAGGCAGACGATAAACGTATGATATGTTCACTGGTGAAAATGCAATGGGAAAAAGAGAGAAGTTGAGGGGGATGGGAACAGTTTGCCACAATTCTGTGATCAGAGAGGGTCTCATAGAGGAACTGACTTTACAGGAAAGACTTGAAAGAGGCAAGAGAGTGAGCTTGTGGATGTATGGGGAAGAGGGTTCCAGGCAGAGGGAAGAGTCGAGGTCGAGGTCTTCTGTCATGTTCTGTCCAAGGAGCAGTAGCAAGGACAGTGTGCCTGGAGATGAAGAGAAGCATGCAGCTCCAGGAGGGCCATGCCAGCCATTGGAAGGACTTCAGTGTCTACTCAGAATGAAATGGGAGCCCGCGGAAGGTGCTGAGCAGAGGAGTGACAGGATGTGACTCAAGGAATGTTCTGGATGTTGTATTCAGACTGCAGGGAACACAAGCAGAATCGGAGGACCCAGAGAGGAGCGTCTTATATTAATCAGGATGTGATGGTGGAGGCTTGGACCTGATATAGCTGGGGAAGTGTGGGCAAGTGTAGAGATTCTGAACATACTCAGTAAAGCCAAGGATTTCTTGATGGGTTAGGGTTACTGTCTGCACACTTAACATACATATTTTTACAGGAGATTTTCCATGTGGTAACTAAAGGTGAAGAGACTCCCAAGCAGACATTTTGGCAGAGGAGGATCATCGGTCCTCACACTACTTATCCTGTGTTTCTCCTTGAGTCGGCCCTGGAGAGGTGGAGGTTCCCACACAGAATTCTCCATCTTCTTCCAGGTGGTATTTCTGCCTGACTCTTTCTGGCATCTCTCTGCAGCTCTGATGAAAATGGCTTGGCCCCTAGATTTCCTGCCATTCCACCTCCTTATCTGCCTCATCTCTGACCAGCTGCTCACTCCTTGCTCAGGTAGGAAACAATGTTGCTTTTTTGTATTGGAAGCAGATAATTATTTGTTGGCACCCAGTCAGAACCTTTGATCCCCTCATTCCTTGAAGCCCTGTTGCAAACTGAAGGCTCACATGCCATTAAGACAAATGTCCTTCTCTCAGGATCCTATTCCTCTCTAGGCTTTTCTAAGCCTGAGACACCCCCTTCCCATCACGGCCTCATGGAATTCCCTGCCCCCCCCCTTTTCTGACCAGCTCAGTTTGCTGTGATTGGACCCCCTGGGCCCATCCTGGTCATGGTGGGTGAAGACGCCGAGCTGCCCTGTCACCTGTCCCCGAAGATGAGCGCGGAGACCATGGAACTGAAGTGGGTGCGGTCCAGCCTCAGGCAAGTGGTTTTAATGTATGCCCATGGCAAGGAAGTGGAAGACAGACAGACGGCAGAGTACCAAGGGAGAACTGAGATTTTAAGAGATGGCATCACTGCAGGGAAAGCTGTTCTCCGCATACGCAACGTTAGAGCCTCTGACAGTGGAAACTACCTGTGCTATTTCCAAGATGGCAACTTCTATGAGAAAGCCTTATTGGAGCTGAAGGTTGCAGGTGAGCCTCCAGTTTCTGTTCTGAGTGTGTTCCTCTTGGGACCTAGGAGCAGATGCAGAGTTTTTGCTCCAAATCCACCTCTCAGAGCTCTTGGCTGATCATCAGGAACTGCCTCCTCTGTCTTCTGACTTTGTTTCTCCAAGACCCTCAGGAAAGAAGCAGGTCTTCCTCCAGGAAGACCCCCTCCTGTATGCTATCGTGTCAAGTAAAGAGCTCCCTCCTGCCAACTGCCAGGGCCTAAGCTGGGAATTGTAAGGTCAGGATGGGAAGGATAAGAAAACATCTCCTTGGAGATGGTGCATGGTTGTCTGGGTTCAGTTGCATTCCAGGTGGCTTCTGGGGGCCCATCCAGGTACTCACCGCCATGAGCCCTTACAGGCTGACCTGTAAGGGCAGCATCTGGCTGTCATTGTTCCCCACACCACACCCCCTCGGAGCACACTTGTAATTGGACCAGTTGACTTCAATCCTTGCTGCAGGAGGGGCAATGCATGCCCTGGGGGAGCATGGGGGGTCTCAGGAAGAGGGTGACAGAGGAGACTTGTTATAGACTTTGGGCTTCTGTTAGGGGATTTAGGGCAAGGTTTATGGAAGTGGGCTTTGCTCTGGATGGGATGCTGTCAGAGGAGGAGGTATATTTCTGTGGGTGGATAACTTCATAAATCTTATCCAGGAGGAAGACTAGAGTGAGGCTAGTCTGGGACTGGTAAAGGAGTGGCATCACTCAGCCAGGACAGGGGCATGTTTGGTCAAGGTTATGTTTGGGACAGTGCTCGTATTTTTCTCTATATTCAAACATGATTGTTGTTGGTCTTTTGTCTTCACCTGTCATAGTGACAAAGGGCCCTCTGATGCTGATATTCCATGAAATTGCTTGTGTTCCACAGAACACCAAGACTCGACTCATATTCCATGTTAAGGATTGCATATCTCTTGCTCTTGCCGTGTAGCTTCTGGCTGGGTTTGGTCCATGGGGAGCCATAGCAGAAGGTAGAAGGAGGGAGAGAGAGGGGTCAGGGTACTTATGCCCCTGGCTTACTTACTGCAGGGCCACCTCTAGCTGGCTACATGCCCTTCCAGAAGATCACAGTTCCTCTTATGAAAGCTCCTTCTACATGACTCTCCCACTTTAGGTCTTCAAAACAGCTCCCTCTTCACTCCCCTTTGGGTTTAGGGGTGGGTGGTAGCACTCCATTGTTCCTGGCCCTGGAGTACTGCTCTATTCCATGTAGTTTTCTCCTCACTATGACCACCCTTTGGCAAACAGCTTCTTAGAAAACTCTAGTTTAATTTTCTGAGTGTGCCATCCAATTCCTGTTGAGACCCTCACTGACACAGGATGCTCCCAAGAATTGAGGCTCTTTCATCCTTTCCACAGCACTGGGCTCTGATCTTCACATTCAAGTGAAGGGCCATGAGGATGGAGGGATCCACCTGGGGTGTGAGTCCGCCAGCTGGTATCCCCAGCCCCAGATTCGGTGGAGAGATGCCAAGGGCCAGAATATGCCAGCTATGACAGCACCTCCGGCTGCAGATGGAGCAGGCCTGTATGCAGTCACATCATCTCTAATCGTGAAAGGCGGCTCTGGGGAAGGGGTGTCCTGTATCATCAGAAATCCCCTCCTCAATCAGGAAAAGACAGCCCAGATTTCCATCGCAGGTGAGTACCCTGCTTAGTTGCAGGTATACTATGAGGAGCCATGGCTGTTGGAAGAAGAAGGATGTGAACACCTGGGACTAATATAAGGAAGTCAATTATACTTCAGTTTAAAAAAATTCCTTAAAAGAGACATATGTAAAATTTAATCTATAGAAAATTAGACAAAATTACAACTTAAACATTAACCAACTGAAATCTAGTATAGCCATATTAAAGAAAAGTATAAAAACAAATAAAAAATGTTTTAAATAAATTTTTAAAAAGAAAAGAAAGGGGGATGTGTTGTTCTCTGTGGTATACAGTGAAAGTGAGTCATTGAGCTGAGTTCCAGAGCCTTTTATAGAACTAGTTTTTTGGTTTTTTTTTTCCTCCTGTTTACGTCACAAGGATTTACTGAGCATTTCCTATGTGCCAGGAACGGTGACAGGCAATAGGAACTGGAGAGAAGTGGCGAAGAATGGATCCTTAAGCAAAGACAAATGACAAAGTTGGGGGTGGGTGGGTTCATGTACAACTCATAATTTAGGGGAAATGCTAATCCCATTAAAATATAGTACAAACCATTAGAAAAAAGAGCAAAGCATATGAATTATTAGCTCACAGGAAAGGAATAACACATGAAAGAGTGTCCAACCTCACACAGGAGAGAAATGTGTATTAAAACTTGTGCGAGTGGACAGGAGACTCAGATGATGTTTTATGTGCTTTTACTTGATACTGGAATCATGTGAATGTAACATATTGTAAATTTTAAGTAGAAAAAAACTTGATTATGATGCTTAAGTAACACATTTACATGTGAGAAAGACATTTCAGGACAAGTTCTGGTATTATGTTAGTACTGTATCTATAAAACCTTAGCAGGGCTTGCTGAAGTCTTACCTAAAGGTCTCTGAGAACTTAGGAAGAGAAAGATTTTGATGTCAGGAGATGAACTCCGTGAACCCTCTCCTGAGGGTGAGAGACTAAGACTGGATCCCATTGCAGACCCGTTCTTCAGGAGGGCCCAGAGCTGGATCACTGCCTTTGCAGGGACCCTGACAGTCTGTCTGCTGCTTCTCGCTGGAGCTGGTTACTTCCTGTGGCTACAGAGGAAGGAAAAAGAGGCTCTATTCATGGAGAAAGACAAAGCAATAAAGGAAAAAGAAAGAGCTTGGGCAGAAAAGGAGCAAGAACGAAGAACAAAAGGTATCTGACCTGGAGAGGGAGTCTAAGGCCCATGCTTTGCAGGAGGGAGCTGGATCACCTCACCCCATCCCCACCCCTCACACCCAACCCAGCACTTGGTCATCCTTAAGATTTATTTTCTAGAGGTCCTCCTCCTTCCACCCCCATAACAGTACTTTTTTTTTCTGCTTCTTTTCCAGAGATGCTCCAGTATGAGCTCAGTAAGTTCTCATTCCCCCAGGGACCCGTGCTCATCTTCCTATGACTTACCACTTAATGACTCACCACTTTCCTTCCATTGCAGAGTGGAGAAAGGTCCAGTTCATGGCTCGTGAGTAGCTCTGACATTTTCTCTAAATTCGCATATAAGACTGTCTCTGCCAGAATATTTTCCAGCCGGGTTCCTCAGCCCCTAACTCTGCCCTGGGAGGAAGGAATGTTCTGGATCCTTTTTTCCAGGAAAAGAAATATGGGTGATTGGGGAGGGGGAAGTAGTTGGTAGGGAGAATAGAGAGTGTTTCCTTTTTTAATAGAGAAAGGGGCCTTCAATCTCCTTTCCTAAAGAAGAGAGGGGAGGTGAGAGTTGAACAGGCAGAGACAGAAGGTAGGAAGGGTGGAGTGGCCAAAAAGAAGGCGAGATGAGGCAAAAGTAAGAGAAAGGAAATGACTCAGAAATGACAGAGTTCAGATGATGTCTCTACCTTTCTTCCATTGTAGGTGGGGAGAAGTCTCAAACCTATCCAGGTGAGTGACCCGGATGTTCTCTGAGTTTCCTGGCAGAGGTAGATAAACATTTAAACCTTTTCCCTGCTGTGTGACCCATCGGCATTTGCAGTAGGAATACTCAGATCTAACCCAGAGGCTCATTTTCTGTGGGGAGGACCACCCCTGCTTTTCTACAGCCTCAGAGGGGACCTTCCGATATAGTGTCTGGGCAGTTTAACCACTCCCTGCTCTGCCAGCATACACACCCACACCCCCACACACATACACACATACACACACACAGCCTAGTATAGCCTGGCCATGTCACCTGCAGCCCCAACACAATAAAGTGAAGAAAATCCACCATTTTTGAGAGGTTTTATGCCTGATCTACCCAAGCTATAGATGAAGGAAGAGACTGAAGAAAGGGACACAGAAAAGGCTCAGTGAGGAGAATGGGTGAGGGAAAAATCAGAATTAATGAATGTTCCTCTTTGTGTCTCCTTTCTTTCAGAGTGGAAGAAGGCCCTCTTCCAAGCTGGTGAGTGAATCACTGTACATCCCCTAGGACAAAAACCCAAGGGACCATATTCCCTTTTTCTTTTCCACTTTTGAGATTCTGGGACAGCAAGTCCCTGGGACTGGGAGAGTTCTGGTTGGAGATCTCAGCCTCCAGCAGCCTTCCGCTGAGTACCCAGAGAACTGGGGAGAATTGCTCTCCTGGGCTTCCACAGATCTTTATGGGAAGGAAGAGGCATCAACAATGGAGGTGAAGGCAAGGACAGGCAGGGTGAACTAATATTGCAGTGAGAGTGCAGATGCAACATGAGCAAGGAAAGAAAGCAATGCTCAAAGGTCATGTCCTTTCCCAAGGTCCATATGCCACCTCTTGCCACTGTGTGTCCTCAAGTTATTTGATGTTTTGAGCTTCAGTCTCCTCACTTGTAGACAATGATTGTTGTTGCTATTCATGTGAGAGTTGAGATAAAGACTAAATGAGTTAACGAATGTGTACTTGGTCAAAAAGTCAGGAAAAAAGAGATGGTATATTCAAAATGGGTGGTTGAAGAGGGCTTAAAGAATAAACTATTTACAAAGGGAAGAAAGAGAGCAAAGGGAAACCAACGAAGGACTATTCAGTCCCCAAGGGTTCACAACAGTCGGGTGCTGTCACCATGCTGGACCTAAAGAGAAGGGGAGGAGAGTGTTTGGCCCCCAGGAACCTGTAGCTCACAAAGAGGGCAGCCTGAGATGAGTCATCCCCTTGGTCAAGCATCACCCCCTGAAGCTGGCAGGGAAGAAGGGGAGGAGGAAATAAATGCCGTGCCTCTCTTCTTGCTCCTTCCAATCTTCAGCTAGTGCCTCCCACTGACCAAACCCAACAGGTGACCAGAGGCAAGGGAGCCCAGTGCCACTGTCCAAAAAGGACAGATTTCCGGGGTCCAGAAGAGGGTGGAAGAACATGGAGAGTAGGTCTGGGAGCACATGAAGCCCTCAACATAATGCCCCTTAGCACAGAAAAGGACTGGCAGCTATTAAAACATCAGGGACTTCTTCCATGCCTGGCCCTGAACCAAATACACAACATGTGTTATCTTCTACCCTAAAGATTAGTAATTTTTTTAGCCCCATTTTTCAGATAAGAAAGTTGAGGATTAAAAAGTATTATACAGCTTGGGTCAATGGAAAAAAGAGAAAAGACATTCACTTCATGAGTGGTAGCACAAGGATTGAAATTTAAGCCCATATGCCTAATGGAGCATGAGCTTCCCAGGTGGCACCAGTAGAAAAGAATCCACCTGCTAATACAGGAGATCTGGGTTTGATCCTTGGGTCAGGAAGATCCCCAGCAAGAGGGCACAGCAAACCACTCCAGTATTCTTGCCTGGAGAATCCCATAGACAGGGGAGCCTGGCAGGTTACAGTCCACTGGGTCACAAAGAGTTGGACACTACTGAAGCGACTTAGCAAGCATCTACACCTATGAAGTACAGGTGGGCAGAGTCACTTCAGGGAGAGAAACAGAAAAAAGGTAGCTGGAAGGAGCCAGCTCTAGATGTTCGTTAAGCAGACCCTGATGCTCATCACTTTCCCCTTTCCTACTGAACACAAGCCCCCTAGGGCTTTCCTCTGGTGTTGTGGAGAGGGTCACATTCAGGGCAGGCTGTGGGCACCCACCCCTGGACTTGGGCTTCCTCAACCAGACCCAGGGCTTGAGGGCTGAGGCTCTGAGATCTAGGAACAATGGTTCACCGACAATCGTGCCCCCCCAACTTTCTGCAGAGGATGTGATTTTGGATCCCAACACAGCAAACCCCATCCTGCTCGTGTCTGACGACCAGAGGAGCTTGCAGCGGGCAGAGGAACGCCGAAATCTGCCAGACAACCCCGAGCGATTTAATTGGCACTACTGTGTGCTTGGCTGCAAGAGCTTCACGTCAGGGAGACATTACTGGGAGGTGGAGGTTGGGGACAGAAAAGAGTGGCATGTGGGGGTATGCAGGGAGGACGTGGAGAGAAAATCCTGGATTAAAATGACCCCGGAGAATGGCTTCTGGACTATGGGGCTGTCTGGTGGGAATGACTACCGGGCTCTCACTGAGCCCCGGACCAAACTGACAGTTGCCAGCCCTCCTGAAAAAGTGGGGATTTTCCTGGACTATGAGACTGGTGAGGTCTCCTTCTATAACGCCGTGGATGGATCTCATATCTACACCTTCCCGCACACCTCCTTTTCTGGGCCTCTGTGGCCTGTTTTCAGGATTTTGACCTTGGAACCCACTGCCTTGACCATTTGCCCAGTGTCAACAGGAGCAGGGAGTCCTGGGGTTCCTGACCTAGTGCCTGATCTTTCCTTGGAAACCCCAGTGGTCCTGGGCTCAGCCGACGAGAACGGAGAGCCTCAGGCTGAAGTCACATCCTTGCTTCTCCCTGCCCAGCCTGCAGCTGAGGGTCTCTTCCCTGACAGCAGTGACAAATCGCAACCATAAAATGCTAAAGGCACACACAGTGTGAAGCACTCTACTAATATTCATACAGTTATTTATTCTATATGGACAGTTAAGTTTGATACCACTTTATTGTCTCACTTCCTAGAGGTCACTCAGCTAGTAACTGATGGCTGGGCATTGAATAATAAAACATTTACAGATGATTTACAATGTACTGGGTGTTGCGCTAAAAGCTTTAAGTGTGGTTTTTCTTTTGTTTTTTTTTTAGCTTTAAATGTTTCACTCCTTATAGCAACTCTATGTCACAGCCTCATTTCAAAAGTGTGGAAACTGAGGCAGGGCCAAGTTAAGCAACTTACATAATTCATCAAAAAGTCAGTGCTGTTGGGGCACCTGTCCCCCACCCACCCACCCTCTACCCCTAGCCTGTTTTCCAGCCCGATTGCCCCTGTGAGGGAGGGACCATGTGCAGCCCTAAGCATTCCAGGTTAACTGATCACTGTAGGTGCCTATGAAAGCCACACCCAACTTGGTTCCTTCAGGGTTAATTGTCACAGTTCTAGGTCCAGTACTTCATTGGGTTGGCTCATCAGGGTGACTTGGTCCAGAGAATGAATACACAGGAGTGCAAAAGGACTAAAGGCCAAAGTCTTAACTACTAAAGGGCATGTATGCCCTGCTTCACTCCTCCCCTGTCAATGTGATGTGCAATCCTGGAGCCAGAACCAATCCTCCTGTGTTCAAGGTGTCTAGAAAGCCTAACTTAATACCTAAAGATTGTCTGTAGAACAAGAATTTGGGAGGAATGAAACCAGATGAACTGTAGTGGTATTTTTAATCACACAGTAGAGTCCATTTTTAGTAAAGGGATATTTCCATGCTTGATCAGTTATTGATGTTAATGGATGTTCCTTTCAGCTGACGAGTACCAGGCAGAAGTTACTCTTCATCATCATCACTATTTTGTTCACCAATGGATCCCCTCTATCTGACATGTGGTTGTCAAGTTACATTTGTTAAATAAACATGTTAATAATCCTCACTCTTTAACTGAATCTTTTCCAGATTTTAAGCCCCTACAAGTTTTACAATTCATCTCACAATATTTTCACACAATCCTCCTTGTATTAGTTTTCTATTGTTGCAGTAATAAATTGCCACAAATTTTGTGACCTAAAACAGAAATAAATTTATTATATCACATTTTTGGAGGCCAGAAGAGCATCATGGGTCTCACTGGGCTAAAATCAAGGTGGCTGCAGACTGTATGCCTTTCTGGAGGCTCTAGGAAAGAATCTGTTTCCTTGCTCATTCAAATTGTTGGCAGAATTTAGTTTCTTGCAGTTGTAGGACTGAGGTGGTCATTTCTTCCTGGCTGTCAGCCTAGGGCTCTTGCCTGCTTCTGGAGGCTCCCACATTCCCTACCTCCTGGTCTTCTTCCTCCATCTTCAAAGTAGTAATGGCAGATTGAATCCCTCTCCATCTTGGAATCCACCCTGGATCTTCTTCCCCTGGAGCTCTTTGACTCTCCTGCTTTTTTCCATTTTTAAAGAATTTATGTAATGAGATTGTGTCCATCCAGATAATCCAAGATAATCTTCCTATGAATCCAGGATAATCTCTCTACTTAAAGACCCATAACCTTAATTCCAACCTGTAAGGTCTCTTTTTGCCATATAATGCATCATAATCAGAGGCTATAAAGACTATGGTGTGAACTCTTCAGCCTAGCACACATAGCCATGGCCTGGCTCACTCTGAAGGAAGTCTCTGTTCTGTACATGCTAAGGGCCTCCATGATTGGAGATTCATTCCTGTGACTCAACCTGAGGGACTCTTTTCAGAAATTTAATCTGTAGTTGTTCATTCAGTTATTAGACCCAGGTATGTATGTAAGTATGCCTTTGCAGAAAAGATGATTCTCCCTGTTGATGATGTCTGATGAAATTTCTACTGATCTCATCTCTTAGTTCTGGTTCCCCAAATCTGACTCTGAGTCAAGGATTTTGGATCAGGTTGTCTGAGAAGTAATCCCAGGAAACGCAAGTTCGAAAATAAATAAAAAGAGAAAGCCAACTAAAAGAAAAATGACATAAAGGGTACATTAATCAGTTGGTTGTCATGTGGCAACGGGGCTCCATCCCATCCATCCAGCACCAAGAAACATGTGAAACTGAGATGTGCTATGCTGACATCATCACCTGCCCACACCCCAACCACTGAACACACACACACACACACACACACACAAATGGGGAGGCCTCGCCAACGCCATTATCCTTGGGGAAATCTCAAGGCTTCAAAAGAAAAAGGAAAGTATCACGCTTCTGAAAAAAAGAAAAAGAAATTATTAAAAGGCTCTGCACAGCTCTAAGATTTCAATTCCTAAACTGTTTCTGTGTGTTCTGCCCAGTAACTGGTGAGAAAGCAAGCTCAGGGATGCCATTGGCTGGCTGACCCACAGTCGGCTCTGAATCATTCATTGAAAATCTTGTGACTTTGTGATCACCAGGTGGACCGGGACCCGGGGCCCGCAAGCCCCACGCCGCCACTAACAGGAGGCGAAGAAAAGTTTTTTTCTCCGCTTTCCGGAGGGTGGTGAATGTGCCCATGGGCGAGTTTAGGGGAAAGAGGGACAGCCAGAGAATCATTATTTGAGCCGAGAGAGGAGAAAAGAAAACGCAGAAATTAATTCTAGAAGGTAAGAAGGGGAGGGGATGCGCGACCGCTAGGGGTGGGGCAGAGGTTGGGAGGCGGTAGATGGGAGGAACAAAACCCAATAAGGGGAAAGGCGGGGACCCGGGGAGGGGAGGCTTCAAGGGGCGAGGGTAGACTTATCTTGCCGCCTAGCCTGAATCGCTGGGAGGAGAAAAAGGAGGGAGGGTTTGGAAGAGTATCAAGTGACGTCTGAAGAAACTCATCTCTGGCTGGAAAAGTGAGCCGAGGAGAGGGGAAAACTGCCTTCCAGATCGCTGTATTGTTGACATTCCATGCAGTGTTTAAAGGATCAATCTATCGGGAAATACCTGAACCAGGAGTCGAAGGGGGCGGCCCAAGACGGAAGCTGGGGCGCGGATGATACCAACACGGGTTACAGGAAAGTATGACCTAGATCAGAACTATGGTGCCAAGTCTCCTTGGCTGATTCTCCACATCTCTCTAGGTTTCCCGTCGCTGCCTCTCCGGGTGACTCCTCTTGGATGCTTATGGAGCCAGTTGCGTCTCTGTATTTTTCCCTGCCAGGCTTCCTTCTCTTCTTCCACTTCCTCAGCTCGTTTGCACCGGTCTCAGGTAGGGGTGTACGCCACTAACTCCTATCAACTTCTCAGAAAGGAAAATCAACACTTAAGTCTGCAAAGGGTATAGAAGGGCTGCGGTTGTGCTCACTCACCCTTTCATTCTGCACACAGTCATCAAATGGATCACAGTCATCAGATGGATCCCAGCGCACTCCAGTTGCAATCCAGTGAGAGCCAGAAAGACAAGCTGTATATGTAACTTAAAAATCCTTAGTAGCTACATTTTAAAAAGGAAAAGGAAACCAACCGATGAAACAAACTTTCATAAAACATTTTAACTCCAAATAACCAAAGTATTATTATTTAAAATTTTAATTAATGTAAAATATGAACAATGAGATGTTTAACTTTTGTATTCTGAATTTTCAAAATTGTGTGTATTTTACATTACAGCACACGCCAATTTGGGACTAGCTAGTGGCGATCACACTGGACAGCTAGAGTTGATATCCTATACCCCAGGCACTGTGCTGGTTTGGGAAACAGAAGAAAACCTCTGTGAGCTCAGGGTTCATGAGGGGTGATCAGGGTAGGCTTCTCAATGTGTTGTTCATGAAGCATTAGTACCCCCAATAGACACCCCTACTAGGAGGTTTTTTTTTTTTTTAACTACTGACCAGCCACATCCCTTGGTCCCCAGAATCCTCAGTCCAGGAAGCCCCTGCGGCCTTAGGGAGAACATGTCTGTCCCCTGGAACACCCAGTTCCTCTCCTGTCTCAGAGAGTTGATGGCTGGTGCCCTTGTCTGATTCTACCACTTTGTGTAACAGTCCAGTTTACTGTCCTGGGACCAGCTGATCCAATCCTGGCCATGGTGGGAGAAGATGCCACGTTACGCTGCCGCCTGTCACCTGAGAAAAACGCCGAGGACATGGAGGTGCGGTGGTTCCGGACACAGTTTTCCCCTGCGGTGTTCGTGTACAAGGGCAGGCGGGAGAGAACAGAGGAGCAGATGGAGGAATACCGGGGAAGGACAACTTTTGTGAGCGAAGATATCAGCAAGGGGAGTGTGGGGCTGATCATACACAACGTCACCGCCCACGAAAACGGCATCTACCGCTGTTATTTTCAAGAAGGCAGATCTTACGATGAGGCCATCGTGCTCCTGACAGTGGCAGGTGCGTGCTTTCATTTTGTGAGGCTGCTTTTTCACAGCCTGACTCTTCGGGAAAGTTTTTCTCCTTACTCCAGGCCCCCTGCAGTTCAGGGAATTTGGGGCCTAGAATTCCCTGTAAAGAGAGAGGGTGGCTTTTCCCTCCTCAAGGGCTCACTGAATGGGTTTGCTCTGCTACTGTGGGTATCGGCTCTTGAGACACACACAGCTGTCATCTTGAGCAGGGGCGAATGATTAATCCCTACAGATTATCCTTATGCCTACTTCTGAGAAATCTCTCAGCATATTTCTCAGTAACATGTTTTAGAATTAGACATTTTTATTGTTAAATAGAATTTGTTGTTTAGCCTGTGTGTTGTGTCCAATTCCTTGTGACCCCATGAACTGGCCCTCCAGGCTTCTCTGTCCATGGGATTTCCAAGGCAAGAATACTGGAGTGCGTTGCCATTTCCTTCTCCAGGGGACCTTCCCAACCCAGGGATCAAACCTGCATCTCCTGAATTGCAGGTAGATTCTCTATCACTGAACCACTTTGGGAAGGCCCATTAAACAGAGTACTCATGCAGAAAAGCTCATAGAACTTTAACGTACAGATTACTGAATTATTATGAGCTACAACCACTCCTCATATCAACAAATAGGATACTGCCTTCTACTGACAGTGTCAGTTTTCTAGGGCTGCCATGACGAAAGGCCACGGACTGGGTGGCTTAAATAACAGAAATGTGTTTTCTCACAGTTCTGGAGGTTGTTAAGTCCAAGATCAAGCTGTCAACAGGTTTGGTTTCTCCTGCAGCCTCTGTTCTTGGCCTGCAGGTGGCTACCTTCTTGCTGGGTCCTCACCTGGTCTTCTAGGTCCTAATGTGGCCTTTGCTCTATGGGTGTGCATTTCTTGTAACCCTGTGTGTCCTAATCTCTTTTTATAAGGACACCAGCAGATTGGATCAGGACCCACCCTAACAGCCTCATATTGACTTAATTACCTCTTTAAAAGCCCTGTCTCCAAATACAGTCATGTTCTATGGGACTGGAGGTTAGGGATTCAGCATAAAAATTTTGTAGGGACACAGTTCAATCCATAATGTGCCGCTTTTCAAAATCCCCAGCTGAGACAGGTTCCTAGGAGTAAAAGTGCTGTATAATGAGAAATATTTATCTTCATCCTTAATAGATACTACGCATTTGTTTTGCAAAGTGTTTGTACCAGTATACACTCTCACCGATCATATAGGATGCTCCACACCTTTTTCATTAAGTCCAAAGAGAAGTTTTTCACATGTGACTTCAATCTATTTTTTCTTTCTGGTAAATTATTTTCTATGACTGTGAGGATCAAATACCATTCTTGACACTTTTCACTTCCTCTCCCTTCCCTGCATTTTGCCTTGGGACATATCACCATCTTACATAGTATGCGTTTTACTTATTTATCCAGATTATTATGTCTCTTCCACTAAAATGTAGTTTTCATAAAGGGTTGTTCTCTTTTTTGTTCTTGCTGTATCCACATCTTTAGAACTGAACCTGGAGCTTAACAGATGCTCAGTAAATATTATTGAAGGAATAAGTGAATCTACTCCATAAAGCTGTAAGTGGTCATCACATCATACCTGAGCTATCTCTATTCTAAGCCTGAGATCTATTTTATTTTTCACCTTTCCCCGTGAGCCTCTTACCAGTCCATGCTTTTAATCATCTTTGACATATGCTTTAGTCAGGATCATTGAGCTTATGCTCTGGTCCAAGCAGCCCTCAAATCTTAGTAGGTTAAATCAACAAAAATCTATTTCTGACACATGAAGTATATCCTTCATGAGTCTGGTGGGGCTCTACTTCATACAGACCTGCCTGGAACTTTATGGTTCACCTTGGCAGAGGGAAAGAGAGCTTGGCAAATTATGGTAAAAATGACCCTGGCCTGGCCTACCCCGCTCTCAATTGAGTCATTGTACAATTTTTTGTTTGTTTTACTGTTTTTTGGGTTTGGTTAATTGGCTGGCTGGTTTTGTCCTTAGATCTGTTGTCTCATACTTGCCCTTACTGAACCCCCCTGAAACATTTTGTAGAATTTTTCCCAAGTTGCTGAATTCTTTTGAATCTTATCCCACTTCAGAGTTTCTGTGCCAGCCTTTCATTCTGCAACTAGTTGTTTGGGTTTTTTTTTCCATCTTGAAAAGATCAAATTGAGGAAGAATCAGTAAGACTTAAGTGAGGTTTAAGTTTGTCTTTGGTGTAATCTGTGGAAGGTGAATATCTCTGAATTGGGGCATAAGGCCTGGTTTTGCACGCTAGCTCTGTCAATTCTCCTAAAAACCAACACCTCCTTAGGATTATCAGATAGCTGTGGCAATGTGAAGCCCTAAACCAGGAGAAGAGAGACAGTATCTTGAAGTCAAAAAGTTTCTTAAAATTCTGCCAGCCTGGCAGGTTTCTGTCCTTATTATATTGAGCTAAAATTTCAAAAAAGCCAGAGCTGCTGAGAAGTCCCCTCAGGGAAGAAAGTAAAAGCCTAGACCTGTTTGTTTCTGATCAGAGTGGACACACCCACCCAAAAGTGAGAAAATTAAAATCTCTAGCTGAATGAATCAGTCAACCTTTATTAGGAGGCAGATAGATGCTTGCTCATGTGATGGAGTCCATAGGGAGAGCCCAAAGAAGAGTGCAACATAAGCATTTCCCCTCTTAGAGATCTCACAATTTTTTTTGCACATGTTCACCTCCTGGTGTTCAAAATCAAGGTTTTCTTCCTTCCTTTTTTGCTTACTGTCTTCTTCCTTCCTTCTTTCATCCCTCCCTCTTTCTCCCTTCATAGAAGAGAGTGCATGGAATGTGCCTAATCATTTTTTTCTGGACACCAGCCTCTTGCTTTCTCACCTCTTCATCATTAAGAGGTGCTCTCCTAAGACACTTTGGCTAAGACAGCATTACCTCTTTCACTGAGCCCTGGTCTCTCTCTCCAGGTCTGGGCTCAAAACCTGTTGTTGAAATGAAGGGCCACGAGGATGGAGGCATCCGGCTGGAATGTACATCAGCAGGGTGGTACCCAAAGCCCCATGCTGTGTGGAGGGACCCTCATGGTGAGACCATGCCCCCCCTGGAAGAGGCCTACACTGTGAGTGCAGATGGGCTCTTCCTGGTCACCGTGGCTGTGATCATCAGGGACCATTCGGTGAGGAACTTGTCCTGCTCTGTCAGCAACACCCTGCTCAACCAGGAGAAGGAAACTGTGATTTTCATTCCAGGTTAGTTCCCTGCTCTCTAGAGGCTCATTTCTTTCTTTCTTTCTTTCTTTTTCCCCTGGAGGCTCATTTCATCGAGGCAGGATGCTCAGCAGACAGATTGGAGCCCAGCAGGGGGATGGGGAGGTAGGGTGGTGGGTAGAAGGATCCTGAGCCCTGAAGAGCTGGAAGCTACAGCTGAGCTGAGACCCCTCCTTGTCATAAGAGGAAAATCAAGTCGTCTCAAAACACGGGTAGGAAGCCTCCTTAAGGATAAATCTGATAGTTGTTTGTTTTTTCCCTCTTTCATGGTCGTTATCCTGCAGCAATTTTCAAACATTTAGAACAGTCCTAAAACAATGGATGATGGTGTGGGTGGGTGGTGTCTGCTGAAGCCCTCCCTTCCTCCCCATGAGATTTCCCAAGGGACAGTGCTGAAGAAAGTCTGTCTATAGACATTCATAAATGCATTAAAGAAGTACTAAACAAGTATCTCATATGTTCAAGGTACTGTTCTCAAAATCAAAGCTAAATCAGTGAACAACATACAAGAAGATGCCTGCCCTCATGGGTCTCACATTCTAGAACACCAGAGGACAATAAGTGAAATCATTAATTGAAACAAGGAGTGAAGTAATTAAACTGTGGACTGTATCAGATAGTCATAAGCATTGTAGAAAAATATTAGGGAGTAAGGTGATAGGGAGTGTTAGGGACGTGCGTGCATGTGTGGTCAGTCGCTTCAGTCATCTCCGACTCTGTGACCCTATGGACTTTAGCCTATAAGGCATTGTAATTGTAAATGGAATGATCTGGGAAGGCTTCAGGGGAAAAGTGGCCATTGAGGAAGTGAGGAGTGAGCCATGCACAGATGTTTGAGGACTGAACAAGCCAGGTGGCAGGAACAGCGTAGACAAAGGGCTGAGTCAGGAGCTTATCTGACAGTTTTCAAAGACCCCCTAAGACACAGATATGATTGGAATGAATTGGGCCAGGGAGAATTGGAGGAGATGAATCCAGAGAGGCCATGGGTCTGGATCGTATGGGGCAGTGTAGGACACAAGTGAACTTTGGCTTTTAGTCTCAGTGAGATAGGAAACATTGCAAGGTTTTGAACAAAGAAATAACATGATCTCACTTAGGCTGCTGTGCTGAGGACAGACAGCAGAAGGGCAGAAGGTATGGACAGAAGCAGGGAGAAAGGTATTGTAATGTTCCAGGCAAGAAGGGATGGTGGCTTATATCACATGGTGGCTGTGCTGATTCTATATGGCTGGTTAGCTTTTAGTCAGCCTGGTCCCACCCACGGTGATTCAAGGTGTTACTTGCTTTTTTATCTGCTGAGCCCCCAATCCTGGCAATCACTGTGGGGTGAGCCAGTGCAGAGTCGAAGTTTCTTTCCCTCGCTGGGGTTTCTCAGAAGCTGGTGGAGCAGGGACCTGAGAGAGCTCTTCAGATCTGTGCCGAGGGGCTCTCATTCTGGAGCTCCTTTTTCTCAAAATCCTAAATAGGATTTTGGGGCTCCCTTTTCAGAATCCTTTATTCCCAGAACATCTCCCTGGATGGTGGCCCTGGCTGTCATCCTGCCCTCTCTGCTTCTCCTCATTGCTGGGAGCATCTATCTCATCAAGAAGCTCCAGCTGGAAAAAAAGATTCTGTCCATGCAAAAAGAGGCTGAAAATGAAGAGAAAGAAATTGCACATAAGGAACTGGAGAAACAACGTGAGGAAAAAGAGAAAGAACTCCAAACAAAAGGTAAAAGAGTAGGAGTTGTGTCATAAAGGACACAACTCGGACAGCTAAAAGCCTGGGAAGCAGAGCGGGCATGAATAAAAGCAGCAGCAAGGGCTTGGAACTCTCACATCCTAGTAATGAATCCCTCAGACCTGACTTTCTTCCACTCTGCAAATGCTGCATCCATTCACCTGCCCTATGTTGTTGAACAAAAGCAAATCTAAATAAGTACTGATAGTATCTAGCCACCTGATCATATATCATTTCTGGTATCTTGACAGTTCCATAGGCAGTGGGGGAGGAGGATGGTGGTATTCATAGAAAAGATCAACTTTTCGTTATTTAAGACAAACTCAGATTTTCTTAGTTCTTCTCTTAAAGGCATTCATTTGTTTCTATTTCTTTTTCAGAGCAACTTCAAGAAGAATTGCGTAAGTTTAGCATTTTCTGAACTACTCCCTGAATGATTTGAATTCTGTTCGGTTAGCCATTATCTCATGAAGTTCGTCTCTCTGCCTGTCCCATTGCAGGATGGAGAAGAAGCCTCTTACATGCGGGTGAGCGCCTCTAACAGTCCCTGGGATCCTGAGCTTTCTCGCCACCAGGCAGCCAACAGGATGCATTAGAGGAGCAAGGGGGCCCAAGGCTGGCTGGGGAAGCGGGAGCCTGGGATCAGTGCACTAGCAGGATCCCACCCAGTGCTGGATTCTATCTCTGCTGTCAGGGATACTCCACAGGTCTTAACCAATTCTATAGTTTACTCCTGACCATCCTTTCATTTTTAGAATAATTTTCATCCATGATCCAGAGAAGGCAATGGCACCCCACTCTTTCCTGGAAAATCCCATGGACGGAGGGGCCTGGTAGGATGCAGTCCATGGGGTCGCTACGAGTCCGACACGACTGAGCGACGTCACTTTCACTTTTCACTTTCATGCACTGGAGAAGGAAATGGCAACCCACTCCAGTGTTCTTGCCTGGAGAATCCCAGGGACAGGGGAGCCTGGTGGGCTGCCGTCTGTGGGATTGCACAGTCAGACATGACTGAAGCGACTTAGCCGCAGCAGCAGCATCCATGATCACCAAAGGTCTACCATACACAGTGAGTGTGGGAAGTCGCTCAGTCGTATCCGACTCTGCGATCCCTTAGGCATAGCCCACCAGGCTCCTCTGTCTGTGGAATTTTCCAGGCAAGAATACTGGAGTGGGTTGCCATTTCCTTCTTCAGGGGATCTTCCCGACCCAGAGATCAAACCCGGGTCTCCTGCATTGCAAGCAGATTCTTTACTGTCTTAGCCACCAGGAATGCATAAACACTGAAGCTGCCGAAACCCAGAAAACCATACATAGAAGAGCCCCCCAAAAGTTACATTTTAGTAGCCGTTGTTCTCTGAGTCCTGATTAATTTGAAAGACGATGATACTGGCTTAGCTGCCTCTAACGTGGGAGATGGTATATAGACTACACAGTGGAAGAGCCATGTGTGGGAAAGGCAGTGAACTTCCCAGGCCTGGCTCGGGGGTGTGTAGAGGCCAGAAATGCCTTCCTGCTCCAAGAGAGCACTGATATTCTGTGTATAGGGGAGGGGTTGTGGGCAAGAGGGAAAGCACTGGGTCCAATGACCTGGTCCCAGTGAGCACTTTTGAGTTTTATGATTTGTCACCTTCTGCTCAAGAGCAACAAAGAATACAGCCTTTGCTGGATCCCACAGCACTCAGACGTTTCCTCTTTCAAATTTCAAAATTATCACTGTCAGACATATAAATTTGGAGAAAGAAGAAAATCATTTTAACACAATTGTATTAGATGTAGACTGACTAATAGTAACTGCCCAAAAGTAACTCCAGAGACGGCTGCAGAATGTCAGGGGTCTGAAACATTTCTTATATCCGACAGGTCATAACTGTAGTCATCACACCTATATTATTTTTTTTTCCTTTTCATTTATTTTTATTAGTTGGAGGCTAATTACTTCACAACATTTCAGTGGGTTTTGTCATACATTGACATGAATCAGCCATGGAGTTACATGTATTCCCCATCCCGATCCCCCCTCCCACCTCCCTCTCCACCCGATCCCTCTGGGTCTTCCCAGAGCACCAGGCCCGAGCACTTGTCTCATGCATCCAACCTGGGCTGGTGATCTGTTTCACTATAGATAATATACATGCTGTTCTTTCGAAACATCCCACCCTCGCCTTCTCCCACAGAGTCCAAAAGTCTGTTCTGTACATCTGTGTCTCTTTTTCTCTTTTGCATATAGGGTTATCATTACCATCTTTCTAAATTCCATATATATGTGTTAGTATGCTGTAATGTTCTTTATCTTTCTGGCTTACTTCACTGTGTATAATGGGCTCCAGTTTCATCCATCTCATTAGAACTGATTCAAATGAATTCTTTTTAACAGCTGAGTAATATTCCATGGTGTATATGTACCACAGTTTCCTTATGCATTCATCTGCTGATGGGCATCTAGGTTGCTTCCATGTCCTGGCTATTATAAACAATGCTGCAATGAACATTGGGGTGCATGTGTCTCTTTCAGATCTGGTTTCCTCGGTGTATATGCCCAGAAGTGGGATTGCTGGGTCATATGGCAGTTCTATTTCCAGTTTTTTAAGAAATCTCCACACTGTTTTCCATAGTGGCTGTACTAGTTTGCATTCCCACCAACAGTGTAATAGGGTTCCCTTTTCTCCACACCCTCTCCAGCATTTATTGCTTGTAGACTTTTGGATAGCAGCCATCCTGACTGGCGTGTAATGGTACCTCATTGTGGTTTTGATTTGCATTTCTCTGATAATGAGTGATGTTGAGCATCTTTTCATGTGTTTGTTAGCCATCTGTATGTCTTCTTTGGAGAAATGTCTGTTTAATTCTTTGGCCCATTTTTTTGATTGGGTCATTTATTTTTCTGGAGTTGAGCTGGAGGAGTTGCTTGTATATTTTTGAGATTAATCCTTTGTCTGTTGCTTCGTTTGCTATTATTTTCTCCCAGTCTGAGGGCTGTCTTTTCACCTTGCTTATAGTTTCCTTTGTTGTGCAAAAGCTTTTAAGTTTCATTAGGTCCCGTTTGTTTATTTTTGCTTTTATTTCCAATATTCTGGGAGGTGGGTCATAGAGGATCCTGCTGTGATTTATGTCAGAGAGTGTTTTGCCTATGTTCTCCTCTAGGAGTTTTATAGTTTCTGGTCTTACATTTAGATCTTTAATCCATTTTGAGTTTATTTTTGTGTATGGTGTTAGAAAGTGTTCTAGTTTCATTCTTTTACAAGTGGTTGACCAGTTTTCCCAACACCACTTGTTAAAGAGATTGTCTTTTTTCCATTGTATATCCTTGCCTCTTTTGTCGAAGATAAGGTGTCCATAGGTTTGTGGATTTATCTCTGGGCTTTCTATTCTGTTCCATTGATCTATATTTCTGTCTTTGTGCCAGTACCATACTGTCTTGATGACTATGGCTTTGTAGTAGAGCCTGAAGTAAGGCAGGTTGATTCCTCCAGTTCCATTCTTCTTTCTCAAGATTACTTTGGCTATTCGAGGTTTTTTGTATTTCCATACAAATTGTGAAATTATTTTTTCTAGTTCTGTGAAAAATACCGTTGGTAGCTTGATAGGGATTGCATTGAATCTATAGATTGCTTTGGGTAGTATAGCCATTTTGACAATATTGATTCTTCCAATCCATGAACACGGTATGTTTCTCCATCTGTTTGTGTCCTCTTTGATTTCTTTCACCAGTGTTTTATAGTTTTCTATGTATAGGTCTTTTGTTTCTTTAGGTAGATATACTCCTAAGTATTTTATTCTTTTTGTTGCAATGGTGAATGGTATTGTTTCCTTAATTTCTCTTTCTGTTTTTTCATTGTTAGTGTATAGGAATGCAAGGGATTTCTGTGTGTTAGTTTTATATCCTGCCACTTTATTATATTCGTTGATTAGCTCTAGTAATTTTCTGGTAGAGTCTTTAGGGTTTTCTATGTAGAGGATCATGTCATCTGCAAACAGCGAGAGTTTCACTTCTTTTCCTATCTGGATTCCTTTTACTTCTTTTTCTGCTCTGATTGCTGTGGCCAAAACTTCCAACACTATGTTGAAGAGTAGTGCACACCTATATTATTAAAGCAAAATGGATGGATATAATTTCCCTTACCTTTTGCCATACTTACCTCTCAGGCAGCAGGATGACTTTGGGGGACATTACCTTCCTTTTTTAGCCTCTGAAGGGTGCTCTTGTTAGTCATTTAAATCAGTTGTCAGTGGGTTAAACCAGTAGGACACAGAGGACCATGTAGGGACCCTTTATCACCCTTATCTGTATAGGGAAAAATTGGCCTTATTTGCTTAATTGAGGGAGGGAAAGAGGATGGATCCTCTTTGCTAGTTTAAGCCAAGTGGGAAACTTTATTCTAACTCAAGCCCCAGAGATCATATATCTTGAATAGAAAAGCTGACAGATCTGAGAACTTTGAGAGAAAGTGGGAGCCATTCATTTCAGCTGGTTGGCTGATCTTTCTGTATTTCTTAGAGCCCCAGTCCTCCTCTACCTGAGGCAGCCCTCCTGCCACTGAAGAGAGAAAGTGCAGACTCAATAATTCAATTCTATCTGTGAGCTCCCTGGGATCTGGGGTCAAGGGGCTTTCATGGAAAAGGCTGTTACCCAGGGGATCTTCCCTATGCTTTCTGGGATCTCTCAGGGGATCAGGAGTCAGGTCCTGGTCTCAGGATCTCACAGTCTTATGAGATCCCAGGCCTAAATCTGAGATTTCCTCTGCAGCTGATGTGGTCCTGGACCCAGACACCTCTCATCCCGAGCTCTTCCTGTCAGAGGACCGGAGAAGTGTGAGAAGGGGCCCTTCCAGGCAGAGCGTGCCTGACAACCCGGAGAGATTCGATTGCCGGCCTTGTGTCCTGGGCCTGGAGAGCTACTCCTCAGGGAGACATTACTGGGAGGTAGAAGTCAAAAACGTGATGGTGTGGGCTGTGGGGGTTTGTAGAGACAATGTTGAGCGGAAAGGGGAGGCCCTCCTGGTTCCTCAGAACGGCTTCTGGACCCTGGAGATGTTTGAGAACCAGTACCGCGCCCTCTCCTCCCCAGAGAAGATTCTCCCCCTGAAGGAGCGCCTTCACCGGGTGGGCGTCTTCCTGGACTACGAAGCTGGAGATGTGTCCTTCTATAACATGATGGACAGGTCACACATCTACACATGTCCACGTTCACCCTTCTCTGGGCCCCTGAGGCCCTTCTTCAGACTGGGTTCTGATGACAGCGCCCTCTGTATCTGTCCATCGTTTAGAGGGGCCCAAGGGGTCACAGTGCCTGAGGGGGGCCTGGTCCTTCACAGGGCAGAGACCCACCACAACCGCCAATTCCCTGGTCTCACAGCCAGGTAGGGAAACTCAGGCCACCTCTACCACAGCACCACCTGGAGGAATACCACCCTCCTTCCTTCTGGTCACAGGAGACTCTCCCCCGGGGTTCCCCTAAACCTGTCTTCAAGCCCCAGAGCATGTGTCTCCCTCATTAGGCTATTGCTTTAGTAGCTTGTTGCATGTAACCACGGGGCAGGGGCCAGTCTCAGGGACACTAAGTGATGCCGCATAGCTACCAACCAACAAGTAAGTGTGAGAAAGTGACAGGCAGAGAACCAGCTGCTTTAACATTGGATGACGCATTCAGCCTGAGACTGGAATTGACATCAGGTATTGTGGATCTGGGGATTCCCTAATAGCTCAGTTGGTAAAGAATCCACCTGCAATCTGCTGGAGAAGGGGTAGGCTACCCACTCCAGTATTCTTGGACTTCCCTTGTGGCTCAGCTGGTAAAAAATCTACCCTCAATGCGGGAGACCTGGGTTTGATCCTGGGCTTGGGAAAATCCCCTGGAGAAGGGAAAGGCTACCCACTCCAGTATTCTGGCCTGGAGAATTCCGTGGACTGTAAAGTCCATGGGGTCACAAAGAGTCAGACACGACTGAGCGACTTGCACTTTCACTTTCACTGTGGATCTGGGGCAAGGACAACAGGACATACTGGATGTAAGAGGGGCAGGGAGCCAGGAATGGAGGTCAGAGATGGAGGAAGTAAGACAGAAGGTCCACCCCCAGGATTTCCAGAGCACACAGTAAAGCTCCACAGGCCTAGATTCAGGATGATCTAGGATGAAAGAGGATGAAGGACAAGAATGCATCTGGGCCTGGCCTGGCCTGGCTCAGGTGTCCCTACAATAAACAAGGCGTCAGTACTTTGTTATTGGGTATGGCCTAAGGTTTAAGGTCCCAGATGAGCAGATAAGCATTGGACCAAGTGGGTCTCAAAGTTCAGGTTCAGTGAGGAGAGCAGTGCTTTCCAGCTTTTTGGCCTCAGGATGTATTTAGACACATAAAAAATTATTGAGGACAGAAAAGTGCTGTTGCTCATTTGGGTTATATCTATCAATATATGTGGCATTAGAGATTAAACTGAGAACTTTTTTAATTTATTTATTAACATATTAAAAAAGGACCAAGTCAATTATAGGTTAAAAAGAAAAATATGTTTCAGGAATGATCACTATCTGTTGTTTCCCGTGTAAAATAAAGTTTATTGAGAAGTGTGGTATTTTTTTATGTTTTTGCAAATATAATGTCTGGCTCCTAGAAGGTAGCTAGATCCTCACCATCTGCCTCTGTATTCAATGCTGGAATCACAGGCCATGGAGGCTCTAGAAAGCATTATCTACACTAGTGAGAGAATGAGAGGAAAAATGATAAATAAGAGCTTAGTATTATTATTATGGACCAGTATTAACTTTGTAGACTCAAAATGTAACAGAGATGGCCCCCCCAAAAATCTGTAAAACATCCTTTGAGAACCAGGATAGAGGATCCTGGAATTGAGTCAGGCATTTAAAATTATGACATAAATGGGAGTATTTTGGACTTTATGTAATTCAGTCATCCAATTGTAAAACCTGGCTGAAAAATTTAAAAGATACTTATAAAGTTCAAAATTGTATTACTGCAGTTCCTACAGTAAACAAGGTGTCACGATGGACACGTTCTAGAAAAGAATCTGGAACATTGAACTTGGTGATTTGTTGAGATGGAAAACTGGTTTATTAATGTGCGTGTGTTTTATTTTTGGTACTATTGACATGATAACATTTGAGCAGTTTTAACTAAAAGCACCAGACTGCGAGTCAGGAAACAAGTGCTACTAATACCTGCCTGTATTAATCTAAGAAAAGTTACAGCTTTTCAGTGTTTTGGCATTCCATAAAATAAGACTTTGAGTGGGTTTGCATATCTTTTAGTATAGTTTACAAAACACTTTTATTCATTCAGTATCCTTGCTTTCTCATAAGAAATATACTGATCCCCATTTCAGAGTGAAACAGTGTTGTCTAGCAAGTTAAAGTGATTTTTGTCATTGTTTAAGGAAAATAGAGTTTTCATTCATACTTTTAAAAAAAATTGTCTCATCTTTAAGGCACCTTCTAAACATAAAATTTAGATGTTTTAATTGTTTATTGAAACTAAACATGAACCCAATGCTCTGCTAATCACTGTACAAAATAGCATAGAGCTCAGCTCCCAGCTTCCTTTACTCAATCTTTCATTCATATGTTTACTTATTCATTCACTCTCAAGAAATTTATCACCTTTAATGTATTGACCATGTGCAGTCTGTTGTGCCATGAAGGAAATAAATAAACAGGATCATATTATAGAGAGGAATGGGTGGGAGCTGAGGAGGGCTACTTTAGATAGAAAATTAGATGGTAAAGTTAAGGAGGGCTTCCTGAAGGAAGTGATGGGTCTTCTGAGACTTGAGGACTAAGAAAGATTCCCAAGCGGCAGGAATCTTGTGCCTACGGGCTCCAAAGCAGAAATAAACTAACTAGTTAAAGAACATAACCCCCTACTGACGAGCAAAGACTGAGAATGGGACAAACAAGTAGAAAGGAACAACAGGAAATAGGTAGAAAGCAGACAGACTATCTGGGGCCTCATAGCAAAGTGCTGAGAACCAAACTGAAGCAGAATCCTACTGAAAATCAAACCTCAAGTGAACAGAAAATGTCTGGAGTCACCCGAGTGTTATTATTTCCTCTTCCTAAAAGGATTATTATTATTATTTTTTTTTTTTTTTGGCCTCACTGCACAGCTTGCAAAGCACAGAGTCCTAACCACTGGACCATCAGGGAGGTACCAGATTGCTCATTCTTAACAGCATGGGGAATTAAATTTCCAGAATTTCCTTCTTCCTGGATTTGGGGCCTGGCAGGGAGGTGGAGTAGAGTATGGAGAAAAGGGGAATGGCCCCCAGGGACTTTGCCCTTTCGTTGGGTGTCACGCATTGAGCCCGGTGTAATGATCCCGGCACTCTCAGGGGCTGAGAGCTGCAGTGTCTGTGACTCCCACCTGGCCTCTTGGTTCTGACTGTGACTTGGATTCAACCCCAAGAGGAGATTCAACCCCAAAATGTCGGGTGACTCCAGACATCTTCTGTTCAGATTCAAAGAATTCTGAATCAAGACCTTCTAGTGGAAGTTTTTCAGATTTTTGGCATCTTAGTTTATTTATTTTTTTTTAATTTTTTATTTATTTATTTTTATTTATTTATTTTAATTTTTTTTTAATTAGTTGGAGGCTAATTACTTTACATCATTGCAGTGGTTTTTGTCATACACTGAAATGAATTAGCCATGGATTTACATGTATTCCCCATCCCGGTCCCCCCTCCCACCTCCCTCTCCACCCGATCCCTCTGGGTCTTCCCAGTGCACCAGGCCCGAGCACTTGTCTCATGCACCCAACCTGGGCTGGTGATCTGTTTCACCCTAGATAATATACGTGTTTCGATGCTGTTCTCTTGAAACATCCCACCCTCGCCTTCTCCCAGAGTCCACAAGTCTGTTGCATCTTAGTTTAATTAAAGAGAAACTTTAAAAAAAAATTAATATTGAAGTAATAGTTGATTAACAATGTTGTGATAATTTCAGCTGTACAGCAACGTGATTCAATGATACATATCAAAGAGAGACTTTAATCTTTTACCTCAGATGGACTGGGAGTTATCACCAGTGATTACTGGGTAATAGTTTCCTCATTGGTTAATCTTGTGCCCCTTTGATCCTCGTGTGGAGGAGAGTGGGCTGGGCCAAGGAGGGAGGTGCGGTGGGGAGTTTGGAAGTTAGGTCTTCTTGGTACATCCTACCATTATTAGAAGTTTTCTCAGCTTAAGTGAAAGTGAAACTTACATATCCCTGGACTCATGGAGAGCTTTCCTTAATCACATAACTATTTACGCAGGCTTGACAGGAAACAGCCAGGCACATTGCTGCCAGGCTGGTTCACAGGATCATTCTTTTTCTCCCCAGTCTCCCTGATGCTTGGCTCTAAATCAACCCTTTCATACCATAAAACACAAGGTATGTATATAATCATTCCAGACTTTTTAATTATAATTACTATTAATGATCAAACTTAGAAGACTTTGATATTAGAGACACAAATAATCTGACACAGATAAAGTATATGTACAATTATCAGTAAATAAGCTAACATTTATAATGCAAGCAGTCTCTTGGGACTATGAATCAGCACACATGTAGCTTATTCTTATATCCATCTAACAATCATTGACTGTTGGCCATGAGCCAAGCACTGTCTAGGCTTTGATGAAAATAACAGTAATTAAGACAGGTTTCATGCATGGAGTATTGTCAACCAGGGAGCACACCCACGCTTCAGTGGCCGTACTTTCTACTGACCTTTCATTATGTAGCCTTGACTGATTGAATCATGGACCACATAGTGATTGAACTCCTTCTCCGGCCCCTCTCTCTTCCTCAGTCAAGCTGAACACAAAAAGCTCAAATCCTCAATCCCGTTGGCACATGATTGGCCTTTCTGTTTTGCTGACTCACCATCTCATTAGAATAAACTCTCAGGTTCAGTCCAGTGAGCTCAGCAGGACTAACACAACACTCTTAATACTTAGGAAATTCCAAGGGTTTAGGTTATTTCCCAGGAGATTAGACAAAGGCCAGACCTCTTACTACACAGTTTGAAAAACAATATCAAGGGGAAAGGACTAGGGTGCAGTTGGATTTGGGCTACTACCAGAATAGAAAGATCAGAGCAGCCAAAGGATGGTAGGGAAAATAGTGGACAGGCCAGAGAAATAGGGAGAGCCAATTCAGCATGGACTCTTGAGGTAGCAAAAGGAGTTTGTGTTTTCTTCTAACTATAATTGGAAACTATTATTGTAAACAAGGAAGTAACAGAACAATTTCTGTTAATTCCCTGGTGGTCCAGTGATTAGGTTTCTGCATTTTCACTGCTGAAGATGAGTTCAATTCGAGGTGGGTAAAATAAGATCACTGCAGGGTGAGGCAAAAAAGAAAG